TGCTCCAAACCATCATTCTGGCAAAGGGAAGGTTGCTGTTGCAATGATAGCTCGTTTCTGCTTTATCCAGTGGAGCAAGAGCTTATTTCTCTTCAGAGTTTGTCAAAAAGTACTTTGAAAACCAAAGGCTTCTTTGCTTCCAGAGCCTAAAAGCATTGACATGAAGTACGATATAAAGCTGGAGCTCTAGCAAGAGCTGACATGGAGCTCCTGAGCTAACAAATCCTTGACATTTCTGTTACACAAGCAGTGTTTATTTTGCATATCCCAGGAAAGAAGTAGGCATACATACCTGTATATTATTCATATGCTACAGAACTGCTTCTTATATATATATATGCTTGTCTTTCACTAAAAAGGTTACAAAGAGAAAATGTTGCTCTTAAGCACATTTCTGTACAAGATGAGCATGTATTACAAGAAAAAAAGTATTAACTTCATGTGCTATTCATAAAGTGTTATTAAGTTCCTTTGTTGGATAGTTCATAGCTGAGATTGTTGAAATCAGCTATGGAGCAGTGTCAATAGGAGAGACTTAGGATGAGAATAGGACCACGATGGCTTTATAAAAATTAAAAAAAAAGTGTTAGAAGAAAGAAGGGAGAAATACGTTGATGCGATATGATTGTTTTGCTTTGTGCTCACCCTTCTCTCACAGTTATATTCAAGAATCTATCTTTATTCCAACATCTACAGAAGGAAAGCCAGAGCTGACTGAGAAGCAGCCTAAGATAAAAGCAAATTTCAAGGTTATTCCCTTTGCAAATAATATTGCAGATTAACTCGGCATATATCACAGCTTGTTTAAAAGGTAGTAAAAATGGTATGTATTCAGTCAAATCTGTGTCTACCTTTATTACTTCTACTGTGTTTCGGATAACTGGAAAATGCTACGCTTTTAGTTGAGAGAAAGTGGTCGAACATTGCACTTTGTACTAAATGGAATTCAAATAAGAACACAGGTTTGCTAGGGTGCAGTGAATAGCAGGTAATAAAAGATACAATAGTTAGTTCTTTAGATTGAAAAAACCCAACACACACACAAAAAAAACCAGAGAGAAAAACTCTATTTTGAATTACTGTTGTAGAAAATTGTATGTCTAGGCCCCATGGTTATTGAAGACTGCTAAAATGCTAGGAACAAATAAAATGGCCCAACAGATCTTTTTCATTAATTAACTGTTAACCACATGTTGTGCATATTTCTGAACTGCAGAGAGTCTGTGTCCAATGTGAGTGATAAATTCCTCACCAGCCTGTCTTTTTTTTTTTAAATAATAAATTATAAAATATAGAGAAGTCTTTGCATTAAATATAATTCATTCCATTAAATAAATAAGCAGTGAAGTAGAAAGGGGAGGCATGTGTACCGGACTTGTCCTTCACTAGATTTCCTGTCTCTACTTATTCAAAATATCTTTTCTTTCCTTGTCTTCCCTGTGGAAACAGCTAAATGTCTTTTGTTTTGTGGGAAGTCAGATTGAGTGACTAAAAGTTAGGGTCCTCAGCCTCTGGCCTGATGGGAGACTAACCTTGCCAGTGGAATGGGGAGGAGAATCCAGGGATAAAAAAAGATAAAACCTGAGGTTTGAAATAAGAACAGTTTAATAATTGAAATAAAATATAACATCAATTGTAGTGAAAGGGAAGAACAACAAGAAAAAGAAAAAGAAATAAAACCTAAGAAAGGCATTTGATGGCCAATACAACTGCTCACTGACAGCTGACCGTGGCCCAGCCTGTCCCCAACTAGTGATTGGCCCCTCCTGGTCAACTACCCCCAGTTTATATACTGAGCATGACATTCTAGGGTATGGAATATCCCTTTGACAAGGTCAGCAGTCTTGGCTGTACTCCCTCACGGCTTTTTGTGCAACTCCTCACTGGCAGAGTATGGGAACTTGTCAAGTCTTTGACTTAGGGTAAATGATACTTAGCAACAACCAAAACATTGCTGTGCTGTCAACATTATTCTCATACTAAATCCAAACCACAGCACTATACCAGCTACTAGGAAGAAAATGAACTCTATCCCAGCCAAAACTGGGATAATGTCATACTGGTGTATGAGTCATTGAACTGTAAACTGAGAAAAGAATTTGGCAAGATACATAGAAAGATGTTGTAAAGTATGGTTTCCATTCTTGCCCTCCAGAGAAGATGAGAATATGATAGAACATCATACTGTTATTTTCTCCATCAATTTCTTTCTCTGTCACATGTCTTTGGGAAGCAACAGGAAAAAGGCAGGGCAGAACAAGCATTTGTGTTCCCCATACGTTGGTTTGTTAGGGGGCATTTTGAGGCAAATGTGTGCTCACATATGTAATGTATATTGTGGATAATCACAAAGATGAAGGAAAGATTGTAGTTAGGACTAAGACTTAGCAATGGCATTACAGAGTAATTTGAGTTTAACTTGTAATTCTACTGAATTAGTTTTGAAGAGCACACAGAATTGAATAATGTTGGCGTTTTCCTCCAAGACAGATCAACACAGGTAATTCTGAAACATGAAGGAAGTCTGGAATGCAGCAATGTGGAGATTGGTTTTTGTCTGCCTGTATTCTTGGGATGAGAGGAATGAGAGTATCAGGTTGATTGATACACCTATGGATTATTCATTTTTCTGTTTGATTATAAACAAGCCTCGGAAGATGTTTTGATCTGCCTCTTTCTTCCTTTTCTTCTTATCAGCTTTTTTTTACTACTTCCTTTACCAACTCTGTTTTTTACATTAAAACACAAAAAACCTTGATAATACCTTCAAGATCTAAGTAATTTTTATTTTTGTAATGCTAAATAACTAAACTCTTGCTCTGTGAAATTAGCTGCTTTTCAAAATGTCAAGTGATTGTGTAATTTCTAGCTGCAATTTTGCAGAAAAATAACATGCATTAATGGAAAACATTTTGCACCAAGTAATGTCTCTTAATATTATGCTAGACACATGTCACAAATCTAAAGAAATGATTTTGTGTTAGCGTAATGGTGGTCATAAAAGAAAAGAATTGAAAAGCAAACATATAAAAGGCAACAAGCCAACACTTCTGGAAGTAAGGAAAGTAAAGAAGGCAGTTTTATTTAAAAAGTGCTCATTTTCTAATTTTCAAACAAATAGTTGAATAAGCCAGCATTCATTAAAGTACTGTCAGCTAATAATGTATTTCTCTACTGAAGTGGAACTGTAATGACTGAGGGCTAATTAAAAAAAAAAAAAAAGGCACAAAACCTCCTTGCCTTAAAACCATGCAATTGAAAATGTCACTGGAAATCTGGCAAGCTAAGGGCTGTTGGTTACTCCTCTCTAAATATTGTACAAAATGAAATTGCAGTTATGTAACAACAAACTACACCAGCTGCTGCATATGAGACCTTCAGAACATCTGTGTTGGGCATTGCTCCATCTCAAGATGGATGGATTCCTGCCTGCCAGACAAAACTGGCAAGAAAGTTGTGAATCGTCCTGATTATGGTAATCAAGAGACATTTTAGTCTTCCTTGGAGGAACAGGTTTAGGTTTTCTTGTATATTGTTAAAATGTGATACTGTGTACATTTTCTCTATTCAGTGAGAAATCTTATCATTGTTTATCATTAGGAACTTTGTGGTTCTTTCTTTGCTGAAAAATTTAATTGAAAGTAACTGAAAATAAATGCTGGTTACTGTTGTATAGTGGCAGTGATGCTTAATCTCCACTGACAACAGATACAGTCTCCACATTTTCCTATTCTCATTCACAGTCACAACTTGAAAGAAAACAATGAAGGTCTGTGTGTTGCTCTGCAGCAAGATGGGGTCTGTGTTGTATATGCATTTAAATGAATAGCTGTGTTTATTTTAATTTAGTTTGGTTATGGTCCTTATGTACTTAGTTGTTGGTATAAACAAAAATATTTACACTACAGTTTGTGTGTGTTTTTATATTCCCGATTGTTTCAGCTGTCACTGGTACCTATGTAACTTCTTCTTCAGGCAATGTAAAGAAGCTTAATTGTGAACTGAACTTATTTGGCATTTTCAGCTGAAAAAAACCCTTCTCAGAGGGTATATGGCAATTGTGTTTGTCGTTTGTGCTACATGTCCTGGAAATGAAGTAGTTTTATTTTATACCAAAGAGATACTGTTGACATGTTGCAGTAGAATTCTTACCAAATAATAGTTTGAGATGTAGCAAAATTTCACCAGAGAATGAAATGCAGATCCAAGCATTAAGAATGCGGTTATTTTCTCCTGTATCAAAAATTATTTTTCTTTTATAAAATAATAGTGAAACATTTCTGGAAAATGGGAAGACCTTTTTAGATGTCTTTTAAGAATAGTAGTTTTTTCAGGACTAGTTTTGACATTATGTATTTAATTTTTATTATTAATAAAAATTGAATAAAATATGAATAAAATAGAATAAAATATGAATAAAATATTTTATTATGATGCTTTGAAGATATAAAATTTAATAGTATTGTCAGATGTAAAAACAGCTGCAATTGTTTGAGATCACAGTGTTCCATAAATGTGCACTAGCAAGCCCATCAGCTGAGACGCAGTAACTGACCTTGTTAACACCTGTAATATGTTAAAAGCATTCATGTAATTAGTTACTTCAGTTGAGAAGCCAATAACAAAATGCTAAGGGTTGATAATGAATATGTTAGAGGCAGGAATATCTTATGTGCAGTGATTTGCTTCAGAAGTGAATGTAGAGCAGTGCTGACTGCATGATATTTGTACTCATTGTCTTGTATATTAGCAGAAAACATAATAGGAGCACTTCTCATTTGTGTAGGTAAGAATGGCATTACTTGTCTTTCCTGGCTTTTTTTTAGTTAACCATAATTTCTAGATTAAAGAGAGCAATTAGTTTAAAAACCAATAATAAAAAAAGAGAGAGAAGTATATTACCTCAGAAGACGAACTGTTTGTACACTTAAGTCATGGATGGGTAGCATTTTGTATGTTTTGTGCCATGGTGTTATCTTTAATTTTTGGGGTTTTTTTAGAGTGTTCATATTTTGGAGCGGAAGGCGTCTTCGGGAAGCACAGACCCTTCTTTAAGCAAGCAGTTCCTTGAAAGCGATCATCTCTCTCTATCCAAGGTAAGCAAAAGCATTGGATGTAATCTGGGTGATGAGCTTCCCTCTGGAGTTACAAAGCAACTTGACTAACAGCTTTGGGATACTGTTTTGTATGATTCTACATATATTGTGAGTCTGCCCTGGAGCCTTTTGTTCCATAACTGAGGTGTCAGAGGAGACTAATCTTTAGCAGTTATTATATTAACAAAATCAAGGATTTTTTTTTTTTTTTTTACTTGTGGATGGCCCCCAGGAACAAATTTTACAACCTCAGAGTATGGGGCTAGAAGGAACTTTGATGATCTTTGTGGGTTCCTCCTGACTCAGGATATTTCATGATTCTATGACTGTGAGAAATTTTCCAGTCCTGTCCTCTTACTATGGTAGAGCAAATCACTTCCAAGTCTAAAATTGCTGCTAATCAATGATTATATTAGTTTTAAAAATATGTCCTAATGACATTCATTGTGGGTAGTTTGAAATTTCAAATCTCTTGTTGAGACCATCTTTCCTGAGGCAGAGAGAAAGAGAACTGCAGGAATGACACCACCGGTTCCTGAAAGATGGAGCCTTCTGTGTGATGTTTTGAAGTCAACTTCTTCCTGGGAAAATTCCTCAGTTTTGGAATAAGTGATTCCAAACAAGTCTAATTTCACATAAAGGCGGCTTCATTTTAATATACTTCATATGCAGAAGCAAGATTATTACTCAAAAGGATGCTGTGATATTTGTGGAATATTTGGTGGAAAAGAAAAATCTGAAATTAAATGTCTGTCAGTTCTGAAACAGAACTGGTAAAACAACTTCAAAATGAAATACTGTATTTGTCCAGGGAAAATTAAATGGTTTATTCTTTTTTATTTGGAAAACAAATATTCTGCAGTCAAAAAGACTAGGTTCATAAAGCTGTTGGTGTGGCTCCCTTAATCCCCATATGTGGGGCATATGCAGACCCAGGGACGGAAAGTTGTGATTGTGTTCCCCCAGTCCTGCTGCTTTGCACAGGCTGTTTCTCAAGTAATATGTAAGGTATCACTGAAGTCCTAAAGTACTGATTGCCATTGGATGAGGACTCTTCAACATATTGCTTTCACTCTGTTTTTTCCCCATTTCTGGCTGCTCTTTCATGATGTCCCTTATATTGGGCATATTTCATCACACCGAACCTGTGGGATAAGGCACAGTTAGGATTGTTGGAATGGTTTTAAGAACAGCTTGTAGCACTGATGTGGCAGAAGACAAGTATCCACACTGCACTAAGTAATTGTTCATTTTATCCTTCTGTAGCAGGCCTTTTGTTTAAATGAATAGCTATATGAGATTGTGTGGTCCCTAGCTGAGAACTAATCAATACTGATGTTATCTAGTAGATAAAAGACTTATGCCTGCATCTGATCATCTAAAAGAGAAATCAATATGATGAAGAATCAGTTGGCAGAGTCCCAGAGAAGACTCTCTGCTCACCCCAGGGGACTTAGAAATTTGTTCCCCTCAAGTACCAAGTACTTCTTTCTATGGAAAAAGTAATGTATATGTTATTCTCTCTATAGAATGGAAATAGAATATCCAAGCAAATATAGGGAAGTAAAAAAAGTGGGGTTTGAGTATGGCATTTGCAGACAATGAGATAATTAAAGTTTATAGTTATGCAGGGAAAACTAAACTGAATAAGGATTTCTGTTACAATTTACTGCAGTGCACATTGTCATAGAGCTTTTCACCCTTCTCAGAATACCAAGACTTTACTGAAAATTGTAGATTTGAAATTTGCTGTTACCTTTGAATTTTCATAATAGTAATGTCAGTGTTATCAGAGCTGTGTAATTAACTTGGAGGTGTTATGAAAGACTGACAGCGCTCGGCTTTGAACAGTTTTGTGGGAAATGGAGAGACATTTGTTTTTCCCTTTAAATGTTTGATGCTATATGACCTCTTTCCTTTCTTGATAACTTTTTATAACATTGCTGGGAGTTGTGACAGATAAGCTGAGAAAATGCAAGTTTAGAAGTTTGTAGTGTATAATTAGTAAAATAGAGTCTGAGTAGGCAGGCAATAAGAGATTTTTAAACTGGTGCAGAATTCTGTTGAAGCAAGAGGGTAGAAATAAAGGCATGACTTAGATTTTTTTTCTCTTTAAAAATATTGTTCTTTACGGTTCACTGTAAGTCTGGCTTCAGTTGCACCAGTCACCAAGCATAAGAAACGGTACGTACAAGAAATATGCTTTAATTGGCTCCCTGAAAGGCATACAGCTGGTTGTGTCTGAAATTATACTGCTCCTATGTTTTTCTCTAGAGAGAAAATTAGTTAACTTTCCTATAAATTTCTTGTAATACAGTGAAAATGAATGCAGGAAAATAAAAAAAATCCTTTTGCAGATTTCTGAAGGCACAATTAGCCTATGAAACTCTGTCATAAAATGTCTTTGAAGATGATGGCTAACTACATTCAAAATCAACAATAAAGCAACTTCTTCTGTTAGCTTTTCTGATTTGGAGGAAAAAATAGGGTATGCAGAATCAATGCAACTTTTACTTTAAAGATCAGAAAATTTAAAATTTTTTATGATCAAGAAATACCATGAAGACCACTGTTAATATATACCTTATCTGGTAAGAGTTAGACTTCCAAAAGTGTTCATGTTTAGTAGTTTTAAATGAGATACAACTGGACATAATATAGTGACTGTGTAGTTTTGTACCTAAATTTTAAAAGCCTAGCTTTCCTACTCTGTCTTGCATTGGAGAATTTGTGCTACTTGAAAGTGCAGTTTTTCACCATGTGTTAATCAAAGTGTCTTCATATTTTTCACCAGGAACCTGACAGCTGGGAAATCATAGAGGGTCTGAAAATAGGCCAGACCAATGTCCAGAAGCCAGACAAACATGAAGGTTTCATGCTGAAAAAGAGAAAATGGCCATTAAAAGGTTGGCACAAGGTAAATGTCTCATAAACCAGTCAGAAGGTTATTACCTAATTTTATGAGTTGGGACTTCTTTGTCTAGAGGAAATTAGGATGTCAAATAAATACCCAGGATTTTGGTGAGTGACTTTTTCTTTCACCTATGTATAGAGTTAGTTTGCAGACACAGCTCATGGCTTTTAAGTCACAGTGCCTGCTGCCTGCTGTTGTATTCAAAATCCAGATGGAATTTGTAAATAACACAACAAATGCCTTGTGTTTTAAGAGGTTTGTTCTTTGCCATATATTATAAAAAAGTGTAGCTGTGTACTCTAAGATTGCGTTGAAGTACACTGAAGTACACAATATCTACATTGAAGAACACAGCAGAGGAGAGCTGAGGGGTTTTCCATGGACCCAAGATGTTCATACAGGAGAGCATTCCCCTTCAGGTCTGCTGACTGAACATATTTGTTCAGCTTTGTCCCTGAATTTTGTTTGTCTTCTTGATTGGAATCTTCATTGTGGGCATGCAGTGGGAATATGGATTTTTACCATAAAATGTCTCTATTTAAAAAAACCAAAACACCCCAAAACTCACACCTAAGTCTACTAGTTCTGTTGAATTAATTTGGACACATATCTTCATGCATGATTCCACCTTTTGTTAACCTTAAACCTGGTGTTCATAAAATTTTTTGTCTGTATTTCATACCATAATAATTGCATTTCCCCTCCTTTTTAGGCAACAAGATATGTGGTATTAATGCTCAACCATCTTTTTTCACCTGAGGCTACTTGAGGCAGGATAATTTTCTGAGACAGAATACATTTTACACCAAAAGATAGTGAAATCATTTGGTATACATGGTGTTTTTCTGGGAAGAATTAATTTATTTATTTTTTTTTTACTGAACACTGTTGGACTTACGTCTGAGTCCAATGCAGTCCACACTGATATAAATTACAGGTTTTTTCTGCATGTTGCACTAAATTAAACATATGCCTACCACAATTTTTTGTGCATGCTTATCTACGTTAGATGTTTTGGCTTTGTTTTTCTTAATTAGAGTTTGTAGTTTCAGCAACCAAATACATAGGCACCACCTGAATTTAGTCTAGAGATATTAAAGGATTTCAAACTATGTTTCAAGCTGAAACACTGAAAGAACAGAAAAGGATAGCCTATAGAAAAACCCCAAAACATGACAAAGCAGACCATTCCTCCACCCCCAACGACCCTTCCACTCTCAAAAAAAAATCCAAACAATTAATAGATACATAAGAATTTATAGAATAAACCACTGCTCCCACTCCTTTAAAACACATTATGTTAATATGTTGTTTCTTGACTAAGTGTCTGTTTTGGTAAGGAACTAATTTATAGGAGAGCAAGAGCAGTCCAGCTTTCACAGTTCTATAAAGAAGATCACTACTGATGATCTGGATGACTTTAGAGCAGTTACTTGTGTAAATAATTTTTAGTGTGATTAAGAACTTCAAATTTTAGCATCCCCCTCTACTTCGCCTTACATTTCACCTTAGGAACTGAGCTTAGGTTTTGAAGCTGTGGGTTTCCTAGTAATTTTATTTGTTTTTCAACTGCTGCCCAAATATCCTGGAGTTTCCATAACAATACTGTGTGCTAAGAATCCAGTGAAGGAATTTCAGAGACAGTAATTGTAGCATGTGCTCTGTTAGTGTTCTGATAGTAAAGCCATAGATAGCATAACAAAGTAATAGATAGCATCCTTTGTCTCTTGAACATGGCATGTCATATTCTGACATTTTTGAATGTGCTTTAGTAGCATACCAGCTATAATGTGTGCAACTTGGCAAACATCACTTTCTGAAGTGCATTGTGCTTGGAATGAAATGATGATGAAAGATCATTTTCTTTTGTGTGTGCAGCTTAGAGAGACAGAACAATATGAAATTAACATCATATGCTTGTGAAGTTCATTAATGACCATACCTAGGTAAAAAGAAAAGAACCAAAAAAGTTCCTGTTGTTTTGACATCTTATTCAATGAGTTATGTCTCCAGGAAAGCACTGTTTTCTTGCCCTGCATGAGATTTTGGTACCATCTGTTGTGTAACAGACATAATTTCTAGAACCATCTTCAGGGGAGATTTTCTGCCATCTAACTCGGACCCTGCTCATAGTGTTAATTTAACAGGTTTATGTCATGAAACCATTTTCCTTCCCTTCCATGTCAAACAGCTTTGAGAATCAAGGATAGTATTTTGCTAGGTTCTGGCTTTTTAACATAGATTAGTGCTTTAGCTTACACTTTAAAAATAGGAATTAGTTGCGCTTACTTTGCATGTTTTGAAAGCTAGTGATGATAGACACAAGTTAGCAAATCTCATTTCAAGTCTAGGTGTCCTGCTAGCCTGTGTCTTTATGCTGTGTGCCAAAGTCTACATTAACTTGACTGTAATGCAGCTTGAATGATCTGGTACAGACAAGCTAAGGCAACTTTTTTTGTGTGAATAGGGGATTCTGCTCTCTGCTGAAACTAAGAACCACTCAGCAAAATAAAGATGTAGCTGTAGCACAGATAGGCAACATTAGGTTAGGTACCATTAGTCCTGGTAACCATGTCAGTGAAGATATAGGAGCTCACACTGTATCATTGACTAACACCCAAAAAATGGGCTCTCCTGTGACCTGGGTCTGTTGCTGGGAATGCTGTAATATTTGCAATAGTACTAATTCCTGCATTACCTAGATTACCACTGGAAAAGGTATCATCAGCATGAATTATAATCTCATTTTTGCTTCACTGTATGGATGTCTGCCATAATGCACAAAGTTTTGGATGGTCTGCCTTTTCAGATGTAGATCTTACACTAGGAAAAACTTTTCAGTTTGTGGATAGGGGAAGGTAGGTTGTTAATTTGAAATGTGACCACCTTTTGTGGGAAGAAAAACAGGAAGAAAATGAAGAAACAGACATAGTTCTCTTGTCCTACAATGTCTTTCTTATAGAGTTTATTGAATTGGCTGGAAAATTGGAAAAAAAATACCCTTCATTATTGAAGTTTGCTAAGATCAACCTAGAATATAATGTTGAAAAAAGAGAATCTAGTTTTTCTTGCTTAGAAGATAATTGTCAAAAAACAAGCAAGAGAATTATTCAATACTGTATTTATACTCTCCTTCCAACCCCCAAGCAGTTTCTTAATTGCTACAGGGTAATCCTTTTCCAGATGAATTGTTGTACATAGTTTAAATTGCATCTGCTCATTAAGAAAGAATGTTGTTTCTTTCTTTCTTTCTTTCTTTTTCTTTCAGAGGTTTTTTGTCCTGGATAATGGAATGTTGAAGTATTCAAAGTCACCAATAGATGTAAGTAAAGTTGAAGAGCATTTTAAAACTTATATTGGAATTCAACTTGCCAGGATCTCATACTCACTCTAGGTGTATTTATGACAGTACACACATGAAAGTTGTTGATGGATTCAAAGATAGATAATATATATAGAGAGAGAGAGATATGCAAAGCATGTAAAATTCTGGTTGAGTTATGCCTCAAGACTTCTACCTTTTTTTACTTCTATGGAAAGAAAAACTATATCACTTAAAGTAGTTTCTTTAATGAAGGTGCTTGAGAGATTAACCTGTGTATATTTCTTTCCCAATTTTTATGTCAGTCAAAGCTGATTATTCTGAGGCACAATAGGATAGGACAGAGTGGATAGGAGAGAGAATTGATAACAATGTAAAAGTTAACATTAAATTAGTTAGATCTGATACCAATAACTATCAAGCAGTTGCAGCAGGGTGCCAAATACTGTCTAATATTCTGTTTCTTACTTACCTGTACCTGTGTACTCTTGTGAACCAACACACTTAAACTTTGAAGCTGGCTTTGCATTGAGCATTTCTTCTGAGATACTTTCTTCTGACTATAAATATAGTGTTCAGTCTGAGTTCAGCTTTTTTTTTAGTAAGGCTTTGTGTTAAAATGTTTATCGAATGGGAAACCATTTCATCACCAGATATTCTTCTGTTAAATACGGTGAAGTGCATGATACTTTCAAATTCTTACCCTAATTTTTTTTTATTTTTTAGATACAGAAAGGAAAAGTCCATGGGAGCATTGATGTTGGTTTATCAGTCATGTCTATAAAAAAAAAGGCTCGTAGAATAGATCTTGACACAGAAGAACACATCTATCACCTGAAGGTAAAAAGTTCAAAAATGTACTATTTTTTCATCCCTAGTAGAATATAAATAAATGAAATTGTAAAAGATTGTGCAGAAAAGTAGTATTTTGCATGCTTTGTTGACAGTAAATTTTTTTCCAGGTGAAGTCACAGGATTCATTTGATGCATGGGTTTCAAAATTACGCCACCACCGGTTGTACCGTCAGAATGAGATTGTGAGGTCTCCACGAGATGCCAGCTTTCATATATTCCCTTCAGCATCTACTACAGAGTCTTCACCAGCTGCTAATGTGTCAGATGGAAAGGTGTGTAGTGTTCTGTTGTTGAAAACTCGTGGCTTGCTCGTGCGGAGTTTCAGTGGGCTCTTCTTATAATGCTGTTAGAACAGGAGCTTTCACTGTGGGGACCTAGGGCCAGCAAAAAGCTGTCAGTGTGTGCTGCTGAAATACCATCTAATTCAACCTTACTGCAGCCTTCATTAATGGGCTGCTGTAGAGATCTTGCAAAGAATTCACCATCTGTACAGTTTGCACTTGCCTTTGTCATCAGATAGAGACCTGTCTCTTTGCTGATTGATAATGTTCTTCTTCTTAAGCAACAGCTTTTCTGACCAGTGGTTAGCAAACACAGTTCACTTGTGAGGTTCTTGGTTTGGTTCTCCTATTCAGAAAAATCTGCGTCTTGGGGAACTCTAAACCAAATCACAGATGTCACTGAAAACACAATGCTTATTTTGATTTCTGTTCTGGAATAGTGTGGTGATTACACTGACAAAGCAGCATAGCAGCAGTAAATTTAAGCATTTTATTATGCTTTAGGTGCAACAAAATAACTACCCCTGGCAGTCTCCTATACCTTGCAGTAACAGCCTTCCTGTCACTTGCACTACTGGTCAGAGTAAAGTAGCAGCCTGGTTACAGGACTCTGAAGAAATGGACAGATGTGCAGAAGGTTAGACTTTACCTTTTCATGCCTTGTTCTTTCACTAAAACTTCTTGTTGATACATAATAAGGAAGAGTCAAGTCCGTGAAGTGCTTAAGTTACATCTTTACATGCATGTGAAGTAGCTCTTCAGGTAATTAAATGCTTGTGGTGGGAACTTTGCATATTTTGAGATGTCACTTTTAAAATTTATCTTAATTAATCTGTGTTATTTTTAATGGATGTCATTGTTCAAATATGATCAACTTTTGAGATCCAGACTTGTTGACTCCTGTAGAAATAATGAGTGTTCAACATCTCTAAAAATAAAATTGTTACTTAGATGCCTTACTACAAGGGATTTGGACTTTTAACTTCTTTATTGCAATAACGTGCTAACAATGGCAAAAAAAAATATGTCTGAACTGAAGCACTTACTATATTTTTATTTTATGTCTGTTAGATCTTGCTCATTGTCAGTCTAACCTTGTGGAACTCAGTAAACTTCTTCAAAATTTAGAAATACTACAGAGAACTCAGTCAGCACCAAATTTCACAGACATGCAGGTAAATATGCTTGAACATATATCATTACACTGATATATCATTACATTGTTCTTGTGTTAAGGGAAATATAGAGATGTTGTCTGTTAACTCAGAATGTTTTTCTGAAATCATTGTGAATCTTGGGTGAAATTTTTATCTTATATGTTTATTTTAAGCATGTGTAATACTGTTTCAAGTACAAAAAATAGTTAAGATGTATTTATTATTTGAGTTAAATAGGACAAATCAAACAATTATTGTAAAAGAAAACTGAGAACTGTTGCAGTAGAATACATGTATAAATTGCAATTGTACTTAAGGAGTTTTTGTTATGCTGAGTAAGATAACATTTTAAGTTTTTTAAGGATTGGAGACCCAAAGACCCTCAAAGACGAAGTTGCATGCTCTAGAAAAGAGGGCATAGTACAAAGGTCCCAAGTTTTGGACTGTTTCCCAGTTCAGGGTGAGTTTTCCTCTTGACAGAAAGCAACAGCACATCCTAAATCATAAATACTTTCCTCCTTTTTCACTGAATCCTTTTGAGTACAAAAATGTCTGAGTAGTACCACGGAAGAAATCCATGAGGATTTCAAGATCGGGTCCTAAATATTGTGCACCTGTGAAAAAAGCGTACCAGTCATTTTGCTAAATGAACCAACTATATGATATGTTTACAAAAGTGTCAGGATAGCTGCAGCTGATCACTGCTGCAGTTTTGGGGCCTGGCAGCAGCATTCTTCTCCTTACTTTCTAATTTGTAAATGTCTAATGCTACAACTCTTTACTAACTTGCTATATTGTCTATGTTGCTTGTATTAACTTAATAGTACTTTGTTGCTTTAACTATTTGTGTAATGTAGGCTAACTGTGTAGATATTTCAAAGAAAGACAAGCGGGTCACGAGACGATGGAGAACAAAAAGTGTCAGCAAAGATGCAAAAATTCAACTTCAGGTACTGAATGCACAATGTTTTACTTTTCACTGTACTTTTAGATTAACTTCTAATCATGAAATGATATATTAGCTGGAAGTAGGAAGTCAATGTGCTGTCTTTTATGTTTCTGATGAAGTAACTCAAATCTCAGTTTGTTGTGCAAAACCTAGAGAAATAGTGAGAAAAGTATTGATTTTACTTTCATTCAAATGAAAACATTGCCATCTAGGGAAAGGAGAGGGATCTGAATATTAGTCGATTAAGGTGCATAAAATGCAATAGACACGCACCACATGGGTATACTGCTATTCTGTATCAAACTTGCAAAGAAGGGCAGTTGAAGAGATGGCATCAAGCTAAAATCAGAAAACCTGAATGAAATATTAAGCACACGAATTGTCTTTGTCAAGACCTATATAGGAATATTACCAATAATAAGTATTTTCACAAGGCTTCTCTTATGGAAAAGGCTGTAAGGGAGCAAACTGAATAACCAAAGAATAAATTCTGTGAAGAAAGAATTTACTCCACCCTTCCATAGAGCTGAAAGGTAAAAGCAATAGCAATAAGCATAACGTGCATTTATTGCTGCCTTGTGTTTTGTTGGAGGCAGTTCTGTGTTTCAAGGTCTGATCCAGAAGTTAATCTTTTTTATAACTGAGCAACTGATAATGAAGACTATATTCAATTGGCTTTGGGAGCTAACACTCACCACTGTGATGTCTGCTACTGAATAAATAAATGTTAGCAACTTTTGATCCATTAAAATACCTGGAAATTCATGCAAACTTTGAAAGCTTATAATATGTCCCCTAGAGGCACAGTAAGGAGTTTTCTGTGACTATTTTTAAGATTAATAATCTTAAGGAAAGAAGAAATTGTAGTTGCATCAGCCTTCTCACTGCAGCTCTTGTAGGGGATTTTTTTTCTACCTATTATACTTTGACAAATCATAATAGATTGAACAAGGAAGCATCTCTTAGGATTAAAAAGGTTTATTAACAAAGGAATTTTGGTGATTGATGTCATGTACTATTACCTGCAATTGAAGGATCACTGCTCTTCCCTGCTGCTGAATAACACAGGCAAATAAAAATATCAGGAAAATACCTGCAAGTACTTGGTGCCTATAAAGAGTCAGAGTCACCACTGCATGTTCTTCTTTCGTGCCACAGTGGTCTCCGAGAAGTCCTGTCCACAAAAATGATGAAAGCAGTCAATTTATGATGATCTATGGTGGGTCATAGTGAATAATAAGACATTCTTGTGTTGCCTAAACCTTACCAAAGTAACACTGGTCTGGACTTCTGTCATTGGCACCCGACTCTCAAACTGCTGTTTGTGCTTTGGCAGGAATTGTGCCTCAGCTCCTGAAATTTTCAAATACATGTGGTTTGCAGGTTCATGTAAGAGAGTTTGTGTGCATAGCACTGCTTGACATGGGTCTGTCTGTTCGTTCTGCGTTGATAATGAACTCTGCCTAACTTGGGTCAACATGAGTTCCTGGCAAGATTAATGCTGGAAACGTAAAGTATATTTTTTTAGAGCAAAGCATTAAGTTATTGTTGACTGACTTATAAATTAATTTGTAGTGAAACAAAAATAATAAAATTGTTTTAAATTATATGAAAGATGAAGAATCCTTTATGGCTTCTCCATTATCTTGCCTAGTTTAATGAGCTCAACACATTATTTATTCTTCCAAGGGCTGTCCTGTCTCTTGAATGGTCTAAAGCTGTGATCTGTAGCAAGATGGCCTTACTCTGATTCACTGTGTTATTCCTAATTTGTTTTGTGTTGCCATTCCACTAAAATGTGGATTTCCTCTGATGCCTAGGTGCCCTTTAAGTTAACTCTCATTTCCTTCTACCTTCATTGGCCTCCCTCATAGGTCATTTTTTCAAGACTACTCAAACTTTCTATAAACTGTTTATCAGGATATCCACTACTGAGAATCATTTTGTCTAATTTATGATCATTTCTTCATGGTGCTTACACATTAATTGCTATTAAATGGTTGACATTTGGTACAAAGAAAATTTCTGTTGTTGTGTTACTTTCCCCACGTCTCCATACATCTCATTAGTTGTAAGGAATAAAGCTAATAGTAACATACTAATTTTAAGCTAGTTGCAATATTAATTCCATTTGTAGTATTTGCACCTTTTTTTTTTTAGAATGAGCAGTTGTTAACTACCATCAAAGACCCTCTGATAGTATGATGTTGAGAGCCATCCTTCTGGGGAACATAAAAATTAGGGAGCTTTATATACAGGTGTGTTCTTTGTGCTTAATGGGAAATGAGGGAGTAATTTTTACAGGCTTGGCATGCGCTGTGTAAGATGCAAGGAGAGACTTTTTCCATCTGGATTTTGTATTATACTTGTTACCATTTTTTGTTAATAAGATACCTTTCATTGTATTCTTGCTAACACATTCTGCAGTATGAATGCTAGGTGTATAATGTATTTAAAATATATTTTTTCCTGTAAGAACAGCTGCTTGATTTGTTTCTTAGAAATATATAATTACCAATTAAATATACCAGTTCTGTGTGCAGTTGAATTTGCTCACACAGCTAATCCCAGTGACTAGAGTGGGGGTACTCCCTGATGTAAAATTGAGCATAGCATGTGTATGTATGTTTGCAGGTTTGGGGATTTAGAATTGTTTTTAGTAAATAGTTTAGAATTAACAGCTTGCTTTACAGGCTTTTACTGAAGAGTAATACATGAATTGCTTCTCTGAAGAAAGATTGCTTTTATGAAGGAAGTTTATTTTGGTTTTAAAAAACCCTATTTAAAATCTTATGAAAATGGCCTGCAACAACAAGTTATTTGACCTGTATTAATTCATTTTACAAATGATACTTTTGTACAAAAACTGAATTTTGGGGTTTCAGGGTTTTTTTTTCATTTCTTTCCCTTTGAGTAAAAGACTAAGTTATGATTCTCATGACAGCCTAAACATATTCGAAGGAAGAAAAAAAAACATTACTGAAAAGCAATCAAATAAAAAAATGCTGGTTTTGTTTCCCTCAAAAGCTCAAAGTTGTGAAGTTCCAAGACTAATTTTATTTTTTATTTTACTTTTTTTTTTTCCCCAGGGAGAGTAGTTTAATAAAGAGCTATATAGTATGGAGTAACCTGAAAAGTCATCTTGTTCTACTGAGCCTTTCAACTCAGAGCTGAAACCAGATCCAGACTAGGTTACTGCTTTTTTCATTAAATAAGTATTCCTTTATATTGTAACTCAGATTATGACCTCACTTTCTATCGTGTTGAGAAGAGTGTGTGGTTCTGTAAAGCTCACTGTCACCATTTTAATAATATACCTACATTCATAATCTTGCACGTATATATATTAGTATCTCTCTCTCTCTCTACATATATATGTCCCTATTATTTAAACAAGAATATTCTTCCAAGCTCTTATTCACAAGATAGGCATATTTCTGTAGAGCACAAAGACCTTTACATTATGCATACGATATGTTCTCTGCTTAATGAAGTTTATACTCAGTATTTTAGAGGTTATGTACATGTTTTTTTAATGTCAGAATTATATACTACACCTGAAGTCTTCTCTTACTGTGATCATTAGACAACTCTTCCACTTGTCAGTAGCACTTCCACTAGTATCAGTCAGAGGGTGAAGTGTTAGGCCATTCTCAGATGCAGCAACCCTACCAGTGGGAATGTTAGAGAAGCAAGACAGTTCAGTTAATAACTGAAATACAGTATCCTGTTCTTTAGCATGTGTCCATGTATCCAGTCTATACCATTGTTATTTATATGGTCCCCAGGCAGCTTTCAGAAAAAGCAAAAATGTATTTAGATCTAAAAATCCTGAAGTGGCTATAGGTGAAGATATAGAGGAATAAAAAGGTAAAGGAATTGAGAATTGTTTTCTAAAAGCAGAAAGGTGTATTTTCTAGTCTTCCAAAATCTTAAAATGACTTCAAAATAATGCCATTTTGACTAGAGGTTAAATAGAATGACTTTATGATGGGTGTGGAGCTTCTCTGCATTAGATAATTACTTGCTTGACTTTAATCTACCATGATGAATTTTCTTAAGAAAATAAAAGTGCAATTAAGCAGGATGAGGCACAAGTTAGGCAAACAGAAAACAAAGTAGCTGTTGGAATACTTAGTTTTCATTTCCGCTGCTTTGTCTGAGTTTTTGCATTGCTTCGGAAGCCAAGTCTGCAATAATGTATGGGAAAAGTAGCTGGAACTCAAAAAAGTGATATGTGGAGAAAATGAGTCAGTAGACTCAAGGATGGATGTGGAAATGCTAGAGCTATGCATAGGAATGTTTACATAAGCAAGCTCACTATATAACATACACACTGAAAAGTTCTACCATTGAGATGCATGCATCTTCAATGACCACAATTTATGCACTTCCACTAATGCAAAGTGATCTCTTTCAGAATTCATCTTCTAGATGGTCTAGTGACCCCCAGAAGGAGTTTGGGGTTTGTTTCTTTTTCTGTCATGCCACAGCATCCTTTTTGTTTTCTTATTCCATTATTGCCTTATGACTCTGAGTGGCAATGCTAATAGATTTTTTTTTTTTTGTAGTCTTAGTGAGTGCACTGCAGTCCAACTCATCCACAGATAATTTTAGTGAAGTATTGAGCTTTTTATGTCTCTGGCATACACAACTGAAATCACGTGATATGTCCTCAACATGGGTAGGCCATAAGAGTTAACAAAATTGAAACCCACTTAAAGACTCTCCCTCTCCCTTTTCTGATCACCTTTCATTTTCCTGTGTCCCATCACCCCTTCCCTTCTCTTTTTCTACTTCCTTCTCTTCTTGCATTCACTGTCAGGAAGGGCCGGCACCGAAGGGCCAGTTCAGCACAACACGACGCCGGCAGAGACTGGCAGCTGCAGTGGCTACAACAGTGAGTGGATTTAAAAATCAAGGGATAGCTCTAAAGATGGGAAGCTGTATAACTTGATTGTGTAATAAGCTTATGAAAATGTTTCTTGCACTTTTTGGAGGTGTCTGTGCTACCCACTTTTAGCTGAGTTCCTTAGGAGTGGTCAGGCCCAACAGAAATTATTTCCATAAATGTGGGTCTGAGCTTGTTTACATGGTACATGTCCCTCCTCCTTTATGCAAGTGCAAGTGACAGTTAGACTCAGGCCCTGCCCTATTTGAACATGTCTTTGACATACTCTGCTATATACTATAAAATAGTATAAAAAATTGATCAAATTCTGCTAAAGACTGTTGTGACAGTCTATAGCAAGACAGCAGAATCAAGGAGATTTGTTACAAACAACCATGGAATTATAAAATTTTATTAATTTTATAAGTAATATAAGGTTAGCCTTTTCTTTTGAGACACTTTCTGTTTACATTCCATAATCCCAAAAAGTCATATTACTACTTCAGTGTCTGTATTTGATTTTGCTAATTCTCTAAGTCTTTGACAGAAAGTATGGAGCTATAAAATCAATACAGGGACTGGGAATTAGGTGGGGGAAGTCCTGTTTGTGAAATCAAATTAGCATCCAAAGTATATCTTCAGCTGCTGCTGTATCAAGAAAATACTCATTAGGAATGCACAGTATAGACATTAGTACTAATCCATCAACTAAATAGTACAGCAGCTAGATAGGGAAGACTCTGTGCAGCCAAAGATTGAAATGAGCTTTAAATGCATATCTCTTATCAAGCCCAAGCGGTGAATATCTTCACCAGGCTAAAGTATTCCAGGGTCTGCTGTTCCAGGCCATAGCTAAAATCCCCTAAATCAGACATAGTCTCTGTTTAAGCCTATCTTCAGCTTCTGCTACCTGAACTGCAAACTCAGTTACTGCTATGCCCTCCTAAAAAGCATGTTAGAAATCAGTGTTTCTCCAGTTTCCAGATTAACTCATCTAAGTTTATTCCTCCCTAATCAGTTGATGCTGAACACTGTGCAATAATGGATTGCTATTTTGACTTCATCAGTCTCCCTGCATAGCAGAGAAATCAGCCCGATTCCTGATTTACTTGGCTGAGCAGCTGAGTTGGTGGGAGGCTCTAACCAGTAGGTTCAACAGTAGTTAAACAGCATTGGTAAGGGTTGTACTCCTTACCTAAAGAGTGCTTCAGTGGACAAATACAACTGGACTTTGATTGGAAGGCATTAAGGGTACAGGGAATTGGTGAGTTGTTACCTGCAGGTGAAGTGAGGACCAGTTGAAGGAGATCTTGGAGTAACTGGAAAAAGCGCAGGAGGAAGGAAGACTAGAGGCACCAAAATGACTCTGCAGCTGTTACAGTGTTTGTGGCCATGGTGTGTTCTTCCTGGCTGATGCAGCAAAGTGCTCGTCTCTCCCAGTCTCTCTCTCATCTCTGTGTGCATAGACCGAGGGACACATAATTATATCAGTTAAATGCACAGCAGAAAGAGGACATTTTCCTTACAACCCACTCCACCAGGAACAGTCTGTTCCTACATTAAAACATAATTCTGAAGAAGGTGATGGATGAGTGGGTATTACGCCTCTGGCATAAAGCAGGAAGTTAGGACAAGGTTCATCTGAGGTCATGTCTGGAAGGGTGTGTATGAAGGAAACTACAGTCATGCATCAAGAGGCTAAATATTTTTTTAAAAACTTTCAAAACAACAACAATAAAAAACAACCAAAATGTGAATGGGTTATAAAGTAAGAATCAAGTCACCATTAATATAGAGAGAAAACACGTCAGTGCAAGGGAAAAAGGGTAAGAGAAATATGTTGGCAGTGGTTTTTGTACTCTTGCCTATGCAAGAGAATGAAAATTTTTGTTTAATATGGGTTTTTTCATCTGTTATAGAAAGTTGGAAACTTTTCTAAAAGATGCATATGAGGAGAGTTCATGTCAATCAATAGTTCAGTATTTTTGGTGCTTGCATTTAAAGCAGTCAGCAAGGCAGCTACTTATCTCTGTCATGTGAATGTATATTTCTTACACGTAGTGTGACAGTACTTGTAGAACATGTAAATTCTGTTTCTAGGACATAAATTAAAATATTTTTTTCCAGTAAATCTCACTTCAGAAAGAGTCCTTTTCAGCCTGCCCAGTTGAGGTATGAGGCAGAAATGATGAATCTAAAGCAGATCTCTTCAGCCAGATTCATCACAGAGTGACTAAAGAGCCCCCCACCACGTGTGGGCAGCCTGCCTGCAGCTCTGCTAGTCTGTGTGGGTCTGGGGCAGCCTGACCCATCTCAAGTTCCTGCATTATAGCTGGGATCAGCTTCTTTCCTGCCTTCTGGATGGTCTGAAGGGTTAGGTACATGCTCCACACACAGAGAGGTATCAGGGCTACTCTACCCTCCTGGAGCCACCTGGAGCACCTTTGCAGTGCTCTCCATCAGAAGGTTCTGGAACATGCTCTCCGATTTAAGAAGAGGAAAGGTTTTTTAAAGGAAATTTGAAATTAACCTACATTTAGCCACAGTAGTCTGTTAACCTAGTTTTCCTGGGCTCTTAAAAGAGACAGTCTGGTGCTTGCAAAGAAGATAATGGGTTAAATATCCAGTACAAATGGAAGGAATTTATTCTATACATCTCCTGTTAATGAAATCTTGATATGAGGCTAAAATGAGGTCCAGTAAAAACGACCTACTTTGTTGGTATAACTATAACTCAAAATACACGAGAGAAGGAATAAGCCTTATATTGTATAGGTGCCACAAAGCTAATGTTTTATATATATCTGGAAATTGAGGAAGAACAGAGTGGAAAATGGTATTTCACAGAATATGCTCATGAGTGGCATGATGAATAGATCCCACAGGATTTTGACGGTTACATTGGAGAATCAGAAATCTAAAACATATACAGCTTTTACAGGAAGGGATTGATAAAACCATTCCCCAGTCTAATCAAATAACAAGGTACCAAGTTCAACCACTAATGGCAGTATAGAACTAATCTGTTGATAAAAATTCTTAGTAATATGACTTTTTATGTTGTCTGCTGCTCTTTGTCATGCCTTGGAAGAGACATTTTATATTTTGGCCTCATTGTTCATATTTGATTAATTACATTGGGCTGCAGTGTGAAAATTCTTGATATTTGATCAATGTGATGAAATGAATTAGATTTAATGTGTTAAACAGTGCTTACTATGTTAAAAAGTGCTTAAAGTTTAAGTAACAGAATTTAGTTCTGCATGCCTTTCCTTTGCATTTACATTTGAAAATTGGGTTCTTGGCCTGATTTTCATACAAATGTGTGTAAATGGTAACATAAAAATAAAATACAACATATGCTCACACACACATCACATATATAACAGTGGTAGCCATATACTGCATATGTAACATACAGGTAGCTGCTCAATACACGATACATATATATGTAACTCAGAAATTCTTGTTTTATTACTGTACCTGAAAAGTATAGGAGAAAGAGAAGTGGAAATGATAATAAGCTAAATTCTTTAATCCATCTTACTAAACCATATCCCTCTGCATTTGTTTATGGTTCATGCGCTTTAAATGAAAATCAGGTGGATTTTTCATTTTATTTGTTGTTTATTTGTTTAGTTTGAAAGAAAATAGAAAGACTGTATGCTTTTTCCGTCTTCATAGTTGCTGTTACAATGAGTTTCAGCTAAAGACTTACCAGTAGTTTTGAAAAACTTCAGTGATATATTTGATAATGTTATATCCTGTTTCTAGGTCTGTGGAGGAACTTGCATACTTCAAATGTTGGTATTGTAACAACTGTCATCTACATGTACTCTCAAATGTTCAAATATAGAGGAGCATGTCTCATGGTTCAATTTTCCAGTAATCTTCTAAGCATTAGGAAATTGTCCATTTTTGAAACATTAGAATTTAAATGCTCCATCATTAGCTGTTAGCTTTGTATTTAGGTTGCCTTTTGTCTGTTACAGTGAAAAACTTCAAGGGAATTCTGCATCAACTGTGTTGAGATTTAAGAGAGTAAAAAGTTACATGTTCACTCTCACCATGTTCTTCACGTTTTGAACTAAGTCTTTTCAGAAGAAATTTATATTTTGCTTCAACAGAGTCAAAAGTTTGGTTATGCCTTATACAATATTTCTTCACTGTTTCTTGCTGTAGGTCCCTTTCAGTGCTACAATGTCACCCATTCGATTGCATTCATCCAATCCCAACCTTTGTGCAGACATTGAGTTTCAGGCTCCCCCAAGCCATGTAACAGACCCTCTGGAGTGCTCTGCTGAGTACATGAAGCTTCAAGAAGAATTCTGCTTGATGGCACAAAAAGGTAACTGGAAATGTCAAGCCTTTCCTGTAATGTGCTTCTCTGTTGTGTTTCTTTGTTGCCTTCACTTAGTTATGACCAGGGCATTCATCCGCATTAGATGATAATGTGTAAGAATTTTTAGCTGGTCAGGTGGCTTACATAAAGACAATGTGTTATATTTTCCATGAATGTCATAGATATAGAGATAGGTAAACTCTCTATCTGATGTGATTGTTTTACAGGTCTTCTGAACTACTGTATGCATCCTTTAAATATGTGACTGAACTTGCAACCATTTTCTTTCTCAATAAAATACTTTCTTTCTCCCCAAAGATGAATCAGAATGTCACTGCTACACATAATGTTGTGCAATTCATTTTTGTGCAATATTTTCTATGTCGGTGGAAACAATGGAAAATGTAAGGGAATGTACTTTAGAAATGCCCTTTTATTGTCGGTAAATGAATGCTCCTACAAACTGAAAAATACTGTTTTTAAGAGGGTTTGTTATCAGTTTGCTATCTGTTATATAACAAGCACAGAAAAAATGTGAGACTGACATCTTAAAAAAGTTTAAAATCTGTTTAAAGACCAAGTAATCCTCTTTATTAGTGCAATATTAAGTCTTAGCAGAACTGATTTTTCTGTTTTTCTAAAACATATAAATAAAAACTAGAAAGAAAAGAACACACATTGGAAACAGTTTTCCCAAATATGCACCTTTCCATATGTTCAGTACCAAGAATATTCCTAGGTGACTTATGTGTGAACATACAGTATGCACATTACAATCACAAGCTGTAAGTGTTTGTACTTAATTTGGCATGGAATACTTGAAGTTCAGATCCTTGTTTCAAGTGTCCATAATTGTGGGAAGGAAGTCTCACTCGCTGTCTTTATTGCTGAAATATTGTAATAGACGTCAATGTGATTTCTGTAGCCAAGAAAACACTTGTTTTATTTTTCTCTTTTTGCTTAGTGCATTCTCTTTTGAAGTCTGCCTTTAACAGCATAGCTATAGAGAAGGAGAAGCTTAAGCAGATTGTTTCTGAGCAGGATCTTACAGGCCACAATGCTCAAATAGCACACCTCAGACAGTCCCTCTCTCAGGTATGTTCTTAATTTCATTTTGAGCACATCTAGCTTGCCAGATGCACTATTTCTTTTGTATTTTAGCCATTTCCTGAGGTAAAAGGAGCCAAGAAAAAGCTAAGTTCTTGACTAGAACTATGATGTGTTCTTTTATGACATTGCTCTAACCTCAGTGCATGTGGAGGTAAAGGATATAATTTGTTTGTGTAAGTATGTATCTGTTACAGTTTTCCAAAGTAAAGAAAAAGCACCAAATCTTTTTATACAAATGCTAGATATCTCTCCTGGAGCTATTTCCAGCACAGCCAAGGAGATATTCTTGTTTTCATAATTAAGTTTTAAATGTGACAACTGTATGTTGTCAGATTTGTTTTATATGTCCCTGTCTCTAACTGCACCAGGAATCTTGGGTTACAAGATGGGTAAATTGAATTTTCAGATACACGCCTCTTACTGTCCAGCATCTCTCCCACTTAAGCTAAAGGAAAAATTACAATTTGCTTTAGTGGGGGAGAAGGAGTAAAGCAACAATAAGTCCTCACATTACCAAATAGCTCAAATTTTTTAATTCATTGTCAATGAAGCATAAAAGCTTTTGCTGGATCTGTATGGAGGACTGCATCTGCAAGAATATGAGCAGAGGTTTAAAGACAAACTTTTTTATAGATATAGCTACAGACACATATCATGTTATGCAGATTGATTACTGTGTGTTGTAATAAGAAAAGGTTAAGGACAAGAGGTAAGGATAACCATTTCTGGTAATTAATACAAATTAACTAAGACCTGCGGGGATTTATTAGCAACTTGTATTAAAAAAAAAGGAAACAGGTTTTCTTCTAGGTCCTGGCCTGCAGTGTTAGTTTAGAAGTCACTGTCACACATTAGTTCATAGTCTTAATGGAGAATAAATGGAAAATTGACTGTGACTCAGATTGTCCAGTCTCGTGACCAGGTTTGAGCAGTTTAAGAAGCTACTGCCAGGCTGCTGTTAAGTCATCACCTTCCCTTCCTGGTAGATGGCAACTTTAAGCATGCCCAGACTGTTTCAGAACAAAGCAAAATTGGGTAATTTAAGCTGTTTAGTCACAGTTTAAATTTACCTGTTTTACTTTGGTCCTGCTTTGTCTCAGTACATTCATGCAGTTTCTTCCTGAGTCTGCACTAGGGGGAGATAGAACAAGATTCTTACTTCATCATAATAGTCTTTGTCTACTAAAACAGCCTGTCTTTCTGTTCTTTTCTATGGTCCTCAGTGCTGAGGTTAAGCCAGTTCATGTTCTAGATATGTAGCATATTCTACTTTTTCTGGATTTCAGAATCTTGCATGTGAATCTTTCCAAATTTATAATCTAGGTCGGACTTTAAAATAGGAGAAAAATCATCAGATATCAGATATCAGCCTAATTCTGTTCGTATTTGTGACACTGTAATGGATCAGTAGTTTGAAATAAGTACTCAAAAACAAATCTATAAAATTGATCTGGACGGGCAGACAATGATACTAGAAGTTGTGTTGATTTTACCAGGAATGAAGCAAGTTCTGTTTTCAGGTTCTAAGTGCTGACAACCTTGATTTGGAAGGGGCTGTACAGTTGTAAGCCCAGATTGCCTCTTGGGGTATTTTGTGGGTAGTTCCTGTTTGTTGTTCTGCAGTTTCACTCTTTCTTGCTGTATTCGCTCCCCACTTCCATAATGTACATAACCCACCAGTACACCTGCCAAAGAGCCATCTAAAGAATTAAGGTAGAATGCCAGTGTTACACTGTGGGAGAACATCTGTTCCCCCTGTTTCCTGAAAATCACTGAAGGCAAAGTAACCAAAGATTAAATCATGTTAGAGAGGATCTCAAAATAGGTATCTCTCTATAAGTGGAAGAAAGGAGGTTCTGTGATTCTTAGGAAATTGCGGGGAAGAAGATTTTTTCTTTTTTTTTTTTTTTTTTTTTTTTTTGGTCTTTAATGCTTACATTTTAATTTTAAATGAAATGTGCAATTTTTATTTTAAGGCTCTCAACCAGAATGCTGAACTAAGGAGTCGCTTGAACAGAATACATTCAGAATCTGTTATTTGTGATCAGGTTGTCAGTGTAAATATTATCCCTAGTCCTGATGAGGTAAGACTTTGGCCTTTAATGGATTTAGAGTACAAACAAACCTTGCTAATTCTCACTGATAGCTTAAACACACCTGACAAATAATAGAGTTTTTCAGATTGGCAAGTGTTCATTCGTAGAAGAAATCAGGTTATATTTCCTTACATAAAATAAAACTTCTGTCTTTTGTTTTGCATATGTCAGACCTTATGAAAGAACTCAACTTGATCTCTTTAGAGGAAGAGAGAAGGACTCCAGTTTTGGAATATTAATTGTTGGCTGTGGGAATTAGTGAGGTTTTACTGTATTTGAATGTAACACACAGTACCTAACCAATTCTGTATATCAGTTTCTTGCCAAATCAACAGAACAGTTTAGTATTTAAAGGCCTTATTTTGCAATTCCTTAAAGGACCTGACATTTTGTAAGTATCTTGAGTGGTACTGCTAAAATCAAAAGGTTCAGTCTATGAACCAAGCACTACAGTAATATGCTTGCAACATCTAGTCTTTCTTGTTTTGCTCAACAGATTAGCGAACATTTGTATTAATAACAGCACGCTTCCCTCATGACAAATCTGAATTTATGAGCTGTAATATATTACAATTAATATGGTTACTTTGACAACCATTCTGCTTGATTTTAACAAAATGGTTTTGATTTGTCATTTCTACTATTTTTTTATGCATATGCCATTTTAATTAACATACTCTTGTCTCCTAATTATTTCTTCCAACAAGAAAGAAAGGTTAAAATATTTTTCAAATTACTTTTGTTAATTTGCTTTTTGAAAGCATCCAAACAATTTTTCCAAGAAACCAGCATGCTGGAGATAGGCAACATAAGACAGAAGCGAAGTGGTGCCACAGCACAGCAATCTGCAGTGAAGTTCTAGGCAATGGCCATCTCCTCTGTTTTGTATTTTTTGTTGGTTAGCTGTTTCTTTTTCAGATGTACATTGTTGTCCTGGTAGAAGTGTGCCTGACTGAAGGAGCTTTTCAAAGAGGTTTCCAGATCTCTCATTCAGTTCTTCTGTTGATTGTTTTGTATATGTATAATCTTGCAGTGTGTAGATAATTCCCATATAAGCATCTTTTTCAGGTAGAAGCATGTGTATTTCTCCAAGTCCCTCTAGCTTATACAAAACTTCAAAATTTTAATCACTCCCTGTAAAGATTACAATGAAATTACTTCTATTTTCATTGTAATTCATCCAACATCACAAACTATCTACAAGCTTATAAGTCCCAATGAAAAAGAAATGGGTTTTGACCTCTTGCTTTGTTTATGGGAGTTTTTTGTGATTTCTTTTCTTAGTGCATTTTGAGGTAACTGTATTAAGGCTACTGGATTAAGATGTCTACAAAACCATATGCAGGACATCTGGAATAAGATTAATGGGGATTGAGTTGCAATCTGAAGAGTTAACTGTGTTTAGAAGGGCTTCAGTAGTTTCATCTGTATTATCTCCCAGAAACAACATGCTGTATAAATTAAGGGATTAAGTCAGAAGCCTGTTTCCCTCCACAGCAGCAGATCCTTTCATAAAATGGTACAGGGAGAGAATCTTAATTTTCCTTAATGCGATAGCCATAGAGAGTTTGTTCCCTTTAGTAGTATTGAGTCAGTGTTAATGGCATAATTCAGATGAGATTTGGAGTACAAACATGAAATAAAAGCTCACAAATATATATTATGCCCATCCTCCTAAATATTCAGACATTACAACCATTGTTACTAAACTGGTTCACCAGGTCGTTTATTTGGAAAGTAACTTATCACTCCCTGACCTTATAAAAATTTATATTCAAATTTTGGTTGTATCAAGGCTAGGTCCCAGCGATGTAATTTGTTATAACCAGGTGTCCTTTCATCTGAATTTCATGTTTGAACTTGTTGACACAATCCAGCTATTGTCCACAAAATCATTCCTTTCAACAGAGAATTAAATCTGCAATTTCATGCTACTAAAACTTAGCAGTAGATGCTGAGCAGGCCTCAAATGAGGACATGTATCTCTCTGTTCAAAATGCGCTTTGTTTTGTAATTCTTAGTCTCCTCTGTTAGGTACACACACAGTACTACTAAAATGCTGTCTTTACTCTCTGTGCTTATATTTGGCATAAAAAAATTAGTCAGGTGATTTACACCTTCTATGCATATTTCTTGTATGTTAGAAATAATAACTTTACTTTTCTGTGCTTTATTTACAGCCAGGTGAACAAATTCATGTCAGTTTGCCACTGTCTCAGCAAGTTTCTAATGAAAGCAGGCTCTCTATGTCTGAATCTGTTTCAGAGTTCTTTGATGCACAGGAAGTGCTTTTATCTGCCAGCTCGTCAGAAAATGAGGTAGGCTATGACAGCACACTGCAGCTTTGCTGTTGGACAGATTTAGGTATTGCTACCACTACTGAATTACTTTTTTTTATATAATACTACTTGGAAGATATAGATAAATAAACATGAGACTACCATCTGACGAGGTGCAGATGTTCCCTGAAGTGTAAAACTGAGTTGAAAGTTACTTGTATCAGTAGCTTATATTCAGAGCATGTCCTTTCTAGTTCCACGTAAGGATGACACGGACAGGAACAGTTATGTCTGACTATGCAGTCAACTAAATTTAGATTCTAAAATATTCTTAAAAAAAACCCCAAACAACAGTCTTCTACTATACACATAATCTCTGTAATGAGAGAAATAGACAAAAAAGTAGTATTTCTGGAAAAAATTATTGTTTAAAACAATTCTTAAAACCAGTCCTAACACCAGTGTAATTCTTGTTTTGCAAAATGATAGGTTGATATTTATATAATTTTTTTCTGAAACAGAAGCTGCGTTTTATCATTTGCTTCTTTTTAAAGAGCACAAATTGGACTCTCTCTTCTCACCTTCCATCCCTAGCACATTATGTTCTCAATTTTTTGTTCATCTTTGATCTCACTTGAAGCCACCTTTTGCAAATTTAATATTTGGTTTTGGCTTCATAGTAAGAAAGTCAGACACATGAGGAGAATGTAGCATTTGTTTTGACACCTTTAGTACATCGGCAGTATGGGCTGATTGAAACATCCAGCTGATTTAGTTAAAAGCTCTAATTGAGTACAGATTATTTCTTTGAATATTTGTGTTTCAGTTTACTATTTTTGTCTAATTTGGCAGTATATTTTATATGTATTTGAGTTAATTGATATTTTATTTATGTTTTAGGCTTCTGATGATGAATCTTATATCAGTGATGTGAGTGACAATATATCTGAGGACAACACCAGTGTTGCAGACAACATTTCTCGGCAAAGTATAGTGTTTCAAACTTTGGAAAATCACATTTGCTGTGTTCATGTACCAGAATTACTGCATGTCTGTACAAGACCAACTCAGCTGAAAACAGTGAAGTTGGGCTTGCTTGTTCTGGCAATGAATTGGTTCGATGGAGAAGTCTATTTTTCTTAATCTGGTTCTTTCTTATGATAATATTTTTTTCCCTTCCCAGTTCTTAATGGTGAGCTAACAGGAGGCGCATTCAGAAATGGACGGAGAACTTGTCTCCCAGCTCCCAGCCCTGACACCAGTAACATCAATCTGTGGAATATTTTGAGAAATAACATTGGCAAAGATCTTTCCAAAGTATCCATGCCAGTTGAGCTAAATGAACCTCTGAATACCTTGCAACATCTTTGTGAAGAGCTGGAATACAGTGAACTCTTAGACAAGGCTGCTGAAACAGATGATCCTTATGAACGCATGGTAATAAATTTAGTGTAGCACTTCTGTCTGTATTGAAAAGGGAGTTGTTGAATGGAGGTCCAGGCAGGGTCCTCTCTTGCTCTCTCTTCGCAGAACAGACCTGGTCGAAGGTAGAAAACGTGTCATGTACAAATTGTAGTTTTAAGGGACTGTTGAAAGACTGAATGAGGCCATGAATAAAAAGAAATTATATCAACAAAAGGAATACAGTTTATGCTAGTTTTGGCTGGGATGCATGGCTTCATTCTCAGGCATGCTTCATTAATCCAATTTTCAGTCTGGGTAGATTGAGTTGTGTGATACCATATAGTAATGGCATGTACACAAGAATCTCTGCCTATTCTCACGTGCTTGTCTGTATTTTCACAGGTTCTCATAGCTGCTTTTGCAGCGTCAGGCTATGCCTCTACCTACTTTAGAGCAGGAAGCAAGCCATTTAACCCTGTGCTTGGAGAAACTTATGAATGTATTAGAGAAGACAAAGGATTTAGATTTTTCTCAGAGCAGGTAAAACTTTTTTCTTGATAGAAACTCTCATTTAGATTAATATTTTGGTTTCTTCATTTTTATAGAATAATATCATTTTTTATTTCTAGTTAGAATGGTTTACTTTCTTAGCAGTAAATAAATATTGTTAGTATGAGTGAGTTTCATTAAATGCTAGAAGGTATATGTTTTTATAGTAATTGCAAGGAACTGTTTTAAGTACAAACATTTAAGTTGTCTGTGTTTTCATAGACACATAGGCTATGAAGAGTGGGGGCTATTTAGTATTTTCATATTTCAATAACAATTGTACTGTCTCAGGAATGAAAATGAAATGTTTTTAACTCAGCCAAACTGTTTTCCAGGTTAGCCACCATCCTCCAATTTCAGCCTGTCACTGTGAATCAAAGAACTTCGTGTTTTGGCAAGGTATACTTTTTTAATTTAGAAGCGTAACTCCTTTTTGATTGTCAAGTAAAAGCATTGTCTTTACAAGCTGAGATTTGCGTTTGGAACTTACTCAAAATTTCTCTGCTTATTTTTGAAGTAACATATTATAAACTGATGCTCTGATTTCACTCCAAATTCTCATTCTTAAGAGTGAGCAGATGTGTTACAACTTCCCTTGTCATTTGCAGTCTGTTTTTACTTTTCTGTTTAAAAGCTTTTTACCAAGAAAGTTACTATTTCTTATAAATGCAAGCGGTTCTTTTTACACATTTGAACAAATAACTCTTTTTTTCCCCTTGTATCTATTGACATATGCCTTTAATTTATATTGAATGTCTTCATGAGGGATTTGACAATAATGTAGCACAGACATGATTCCTAGAAGAAAATTAAACTTATCTTTAGTTTTTCTGACCTAATGTAATTTTCTAGTATTTTTTTGTTTTGTATTATCATGGCAAATTGATACTGTCTACTGTCCTATTTTGAACTGGGTGGTCTAGCACAGATCATCTCTCGTGTCACACTGATCACTGCAAGGGGGAGACTTTGGTCATTTTAGTTTTTTAAATCTTTCACTATTATACTCAGATATCAGGTGGAAAAACAAATTCTGGGGGAAATCAATGGAAATTCTGCCAGTTGGAACCTTGAATGTGACTCTTCCAAAGTAAGCTACTGTCCTCTCTCCTTTTGTTTTCAGTCTTTGCTGGAATCTAATCTGTACTGCCTTGTGAATATGGGGGAAAAGGTATACAGACATCACATGAATTGTACTGGTGAGGGTTAGTGCCTGGCTCAAATGTCTCCTTAGTGTTCAGGTGGGGTTACTGAAGCATTTTTGAACCTGAAGATCCATTTCATTTTTTGTAGGAAAAATATGCAAACTCTCTAGAAAGCCATGGAGAGAGTGGGATAGAAATGTTTCAGGAGAGAGAACCCATGTTTTATATGTGCAGTAGTGAACAAGGCTGCTGTATAGGACTGTCAGCAGCTAGCACTGTCCTAAAGCTCTGTGTTGCTAAGTGTTCCGTCAGAACAACCACTAGTGGCCATATAAGTCCTTTTTTCAAAATGTAGATAAACTAAAGCATGTTCTTCAGATGTTGGCAGAGTAGTGAGAAGTAGTAGTTTCACTGCAGGTAAGACTGAAGCTCTGATGGACAATGTGCTTTGCACAATATAATAATACCCTCATTTTATTCTTGTTTGACGTTAGAGATCCTCTGGCTCTGGATAGTTGTTACAGAGGGAAAGGGATGATGCACCAATGTGCTCCTGGCTTCCTTCCTTTCCTTGACCTTCTTTTCATATTTATTTTGTTCTGTTTGTGATTTATTTATATTGTCAGCTTATAACCTCAATTCAGCCATATGTTGGTCTGTGAGACACCATCCTACCCCTAGAGGAATTGTGGCCAAAGCACTTTACTGTGAGGACAGTGAATATTCCATGCAGGGCGTCAGTGGTTCATAATGTCTTGATTTGTGGTTCATACCACCATTCTGCAGTTCTCTGCACGGGAGCTTAGGTGAGCTTCTCTAAGGAGGATTAATAATGTACCCAGAAGCAGTACTTCATTACTGTAAGCTATGCAGACATTTATGAGCAATACGGTCTTGTATTTACAATAATGGAGCAATGTTTTGCTTTTTTGTCAGTAAAGATCATGATTAATAGATGTTACCAACTAGTTTTTAATCTGTTCTTAGGTACGGAGACTACTATGTCTGGAACAAAGTCACTACTTGCATACATAATATTCTTAGTGGAAGGAGATGGATAGAGCACTATGGAGAGATAACTATCAGAAACACAAAAAGCAGTATTTGTATTTGTAAACTCACATTTGTCAAGGTAACATATGGATCCTAATACGTATCCTGTGTTTATATAATTACATAATTTAAGCATACATCAGTTTTTGATTTCTTCAGTATTCCTGAAATCCACATTCCACATTTTATCCTATCAGTTTTCATAAATATGTAAATTGTCAAATGAAAATGCTATGTCAAATGGTTTGATTCTGTTCCACTGAATCTTTGATATCAGTGTGTTCCATTGCTGTATAGTTGTGTGCTATACTGTTCCTGGCTTCAGATTAAAAATCAAATGTCAATTTTTTTTGTATTACCACAATGAAAACACAAAGTCACTGTGTGCTTCTGTGCTATTTTACTTCTGCCTTTACTAGAAATTTGTTGGTCAGTATTTTATCTCTTTAAATTAAGTAATGCTGCTTTGGTTCATAGTATTTTAATATTGAGGCAACGACCATATATAAAAATAGAACTCTGTATAGCTATGTTATCATTTATTACTATCAATTATTTTCCCTAAAAATAAGTCTGTCTGCATATTGCAACAAAAGACATCTATACCATCGCAGTGTTAGCAATGGAGTGTTGCCATAAATCTGAAATCTGTGTTTTGATTGATGTTCTGAGAACGGGCAACTGGCTCTCAGATGAAGGTGTAAGAAATAAATGTGTCTAAGAAAAGCAAAACAGAGAAGAGAAATAGAAAGAAACAAATAACAAATAATATTGGCTGAATGTCTTCCTTGCTGCAAGCAGTAGTGCGTGGCACCTATCAGAGGATTTCCTTACAGGTATGAGTATTTCTTCATATAGGAAGAGGAGAGTTAGCTGGTTCTGACTGGCAAAGTGTCATTTTCACAGAATTATGTGGGATTTGGGTTATTGAATGACAATGTAGTTCCCAGATGTGCGGATAATTTAAATCCTTTTATGCCAAAACCACGTAGAAAATTATTCAGGGTTTCTCATATATTAAATCAATTAATATTTAGATCATCTGACTTTCGAAGTTTGGTAGTCTTGGTTCCCAGTGAGCTGTTCCAATACAAAATTTGGACAGTGGGTGCCATGTAGCAAGATTCATGCAGTATGTGTATTGGTACAATGGGTAGCGTGAAAAAGAGCATGAACTAGTAATTTTTGCTTAAACTTGCAGGTGAACTACTGGAATTCAAATGTAAATGAGGTCCAGGGTGTTGTGATAGATCAAGAAGGGAAAGTGGTTCATCGTCTCTTTGGAAAGTGGCATGAAGGCCTTTACTGTGGAGTTGCACCTTCAGCCAAATGCATATGGAGGCCAGGTAGGAAGCTCATAAGAAACTCCAGCAGGTGTCGTGGGGTAAACCTAGATTATGTAAAGCTGTTTTAGCCTTCACTTTAAGTACACAAAATACCACTAGAGAAATTAAAATTCCTGGCTAGACAAATAAACAAGAACTTACATGACTTTAAAATAATGGTAAATGAAAGTGTTCTTACAGGGCATAATCATCTACATCACAGTCTGACTCCAGGTCAGACTGAATTCTTAGGGTCAACATAAGAATAAAATTAAGAAAAAAACCGGATGTCTGGGCTGGTCAGTCTGCCTTCTCACAGAGAGTGAGGTAACTCACTTGGATTCAACAAATATGAGTTTGAGTTTGTTGTCTTTATTAGTTTTATTAGCTTAAAGAATTGGTCATCAGAGATGGTAAGCGCCTATGATTTTAAGATCTAATTGCAACTTCCTTACTGCTTGCTTAGAGGTGCTGAGGTTGAATGAATCATCCTTTGCATCTGTATCTTTTGTACATGCATGTATCTTTCATACGTGCATTATCCAGGAATTGTCACTATTCTTAGTATTTTGAATCCTGCTCTGTATCTGTAGTATTTTGAGCCCTGCTTTGCACCCTGCTCTGCAGTGTCTGCTTTGACTGCTGATAGTGCAGTAAGGTGTTGGACAGTGGAATCAGTCTGTGAGTGAGCAGTAAGTTCCAAAATTAACTCTAAAGATCAGTTAAGGTTAGGTTTTAGACGGATATTTGTTAAGCCCACTTTCTGGGTAACAGCAGATTATTTTTAACTTGAAAATCTTGAAAACATTAATTTTTATTTTAAAAGAAGTGAAGATTATAAAATTTTTAGGCTATTAGCATGTAATTACAACCTCTGCAGATAACCAGTTGAAATTAATATTTAGTGAATTTTGTTCCACCTAGTTTTGATGCTTTTTAATTGTAAGAGTAAAATATATTATTTTTTTCTGTTAAAATTTAATAGAGAAAGGAATCTCTTGTATATTTAGAGTTATAGCTTAAAAAGCTTTTTTTCTTTCTCTTATATGCATACAGGCTCGATGCCAACCAATTATGAACGTTATTATGGCTTCACAAGATTTGCTATTGAGCTAAATGAATTAGATCCCTTATTGAAAGATCTTCTTCCTGCAACAGATGCCCGCTTCAGGCCAGATCAAAGGCAAAAACGCTTATTTATACACTTAATATTTGGTGGGCTTAAGGCTGGGTTTGGCTGAGTCTGGAATTTTGTCTGTGTCTTCACTGCAGTCTGAATTAAGCTTTGGAGAATTCTGCTAGTAGAGAAGACAGTATTGCAATCAAATTTCTGCTTTACCCAGTTGAGTTAAAGTAGAAAGCTTCTTCTATGGTAAAGCTATAGTGCAATCTTGGGGCAGATTTCTCCTAACAAGCTGAAAGACAGGCTCTGAATGTCATGCCCTCCTGCTATGACTGGAAGCAACACTAATTCCCTCCAAGTTCTCAGTTCATAGTACTTTAGCATTTGTGATATGCTGAAGTTACTGAAGAAAGTGTATGCCTTAGGCTATAGGTCAGGCACATGTAGCTGGGAAGTCACATCTCAGACTAGATCTGAAAGTAAGTACAACACAGACAGCAGACTTGGCTTCTGCTTGCCTTTTGTGGTGATTGGTGCTAAAAAAAACCCTTGTAGTCGACACTGAATGATTTATATAGGGCCTGCTGTTATTCCTACAGGCTTCTGGAGGAAGGAAATATAGAAGCAGCAGCATCTGAGAAACAAAGAATAGAGGAACTTCAGAGAGCTCGGAGGCGGTACATGGAAGAAAATGGCATCGAATATGTACCCAAATTTTTTAAGTGAGTGTTTACTTGAGTGATAAGTCTCTGTTTTCCATAGTGTAACTGGACAAAGTACTACAAGAGTTACCACCAACCTAGTCTGTTAATCATGAAACCTTGGAAAGTTGCAGTTTCAAGAAACATAATTAGATACCTGATCTCTGCGTGAAGCATTTTTTACATAGTTTAAAGCTTCATAATGGAAAGATCACTTTCTCACAATGGACAACAGCTATACAAGCCAAATGAACCCCTTGGCCAATGTTTTTGAACTTTGAAGTGGCATAGAAGTATAATATTGAAATCTCAGATTTACCTAGGTTATTTTTTTAAGTCATTGCATAAACCAAGTAATGTGTGGCCTAAACAACAACATAGAACATATATATGTCTAAAATGTATATATATAAACGTATGTGTATACACTTAAAGTTTATTTATTTTTGAGGGAAGGGTTTTGTTGTCTGTTGGTTTTTCATTAAGCATTCTTCTGAAACAAGGGATAGTCATACCAAATAGCCTGATAGTCATACCAAATAGTCTGATATTTAGCATGGGGAATCAAAAGTGAAAAGACTGAATGTACTTGATGCAGTGATAGTATAATGTGAGCAAAATACAGGGGAGACCAAAAAAATAAATGGTAAAAGGCTTACATTCTGCAAGCTACATCTATTGAATGATTCCCTGCACATAATCAGAATCTGTAATGGCCAAAGAGGTTTTATATGGCTCTAAGACCTGTTCACACATATCAGACAATGGGTTTGCAATCTGTTTGCAGGCTGTTTTCTCTATCTTCCACTTTTGATATAAGTAGAGGTTGATTTTTGTTTTTAAACCCCTGACTGTTCTTGTGTCCTTTAGAAATATAAAATCGTATTTAATATTGGTTAGATCAGAGAGGTGTGAAATTTCATTTTACATTGCATAAGAGTAGAGATCTATGGTCAAAACTTTTTTCCCTCTCTTTTTTTTTTTTTCCCTTTCTACAGAAAAGTTATCGATGCTAATCAAAGAGAAGCCTGGGTCACCAATGAAACCTACTGGGAACTGCGAAAGGATCCTGGCTTTAGTAAAGTAGACATTCCCGTACTCTGGTAAACTGAGAATGTAGATCTAGTAAACATATCACTCTGAAGAAAAAAAAAATAACTATGCACAATATGTTTCTTATAGCTAAGCGTGGTTTGTGGGTCTACGGAAAAAAAGTATCATACACATTTATATTCATCTTTATAATGGACTTCTGAAAGTGCATTAGACCAGGCCCCTGACCACTTCTGGATCTTTTTAATTTTGCAGCAGCCATTTAAAAAGAAAAAAAAAAAGGAACAAAAACCTTTTAAAGTTTCATACGCTGAAAATTCAGAACAAAAGAAGCAGATGAGTTATCCAAAGTCACTCAGAAGAGGTGGTAAGCGCAAGACTGCAATCGGTGCTTTAAACAGACATTAAGAGTAATACACTTTAAATTAAAAAAAAAAAAAGGAAGAAAAAGAGAAAAACATCCATTTTGTTTCAACTATTTTTGTTAAAAACTCTTGAGTCACAACACTGACATTTCTGGCTTCAGGTTAGTCCTTTGATGTGATGTGCTTGGACTGGCCTTTGTCAAAAAGATATGCTTTTCTGGAAGCTGTTCCCATTCATATGCCATTGTTCATGCCTTAACAAAATATGAAGATGTACAGTAAGTAATTTTAAAATATCTATGCTTAGGCTTATGTGAAGGGCAGATTTTTAAAGCATTAGAATTTTATCATAATAAAAATATTGGACGAGCTGCATTATTTAAAATCAAAAGACAACCAAACATCTAAATGTATTTCAGAGGAATGAGATCTACTGTACATGCTTTAGCTTTGGGATGCTGACTGTATAATCAGACTTAAAAGAAACTCATAGCTGGTTGAATTTGAGACAATTTTGCTAAATTCATATGAATTGCTAGTCAGAAACTTTGTATTCTAAAATGACTGATGCTGAGATGCAGTCATCACTTTTAGCACTGGCTGGACATAGACGTCACAGTTAATCTCATTTTCCCATAACTGTTTACACAATTAGAAATCCCTGAAGCTTTGCAACAGTGTTAAAAGCACAGGAGGATTTCATGGGAAGGTCTCTGGCTTCTCTCCAGAAGCTGGATAGTACTGTAAATGCAACTGTTTTCTGCTACACACACTGTTTACTTTCCTGGCTCTGTTTTTCCCCATCCACTTTTCTTATCTAAATTTATATTTGAGCGTATGGCAGAGGCTTCCAAGTGTTGTAGCTAACAACTAGTACTTGTTTTGCCAAAATAGCTTTTGTGCAAAATTATACTTTACATTCTTCCATAAAGTGGTTCTATATTTTTTAAGAACCAAGTCTCTTACATGTTGCTAAGATTCAGTTAATACAAGTGGGAGAAGGCTTGGCACTTTCTATTTGAAAATCTCTGAATGTTAAAAGTAGGAGGGCAGATTTTAATAGAAGGAAAAATTTATTAGATAAAAACTATGTTCCATATAGTATGATCTAGTCTTCCATTTATACATGTATTATATATCCTGCCATCGATGATAGGTTAGATTTCATGCATACACAGTGTATTTCTTTCTGCCCATACACAGCATACCTAGTGCACACAGATTTTTCTATTTAAGGTTGATTCCAGTACTGAGACCTAAAATAAAATTACTAGATAAGTATGTGATCCTGCCAGCAGAGCTGCTTGATCACCGTGGATCACCACACATGCCCAGCTCTCAGCATGCTTCTTCATTTTGCAAGGTCAGCTCCCTATAGAACTCAGATTACTTTGGTTGTTTAATTTAGTTCTCCCTGTTGATTATATGACAAAATAACTAGCAGGGCAACTAGCTACTGATCAGTTCCAATGTCTTCATGCAGTTCTGTTAACGGGAAGAATTATGAAAACCTAAAGAAAATATTGAGTAGGCTTTTTAAGAATTGTGAATGCTGATGAATTGTTTATCAATATTTGGTATAAAAAAAGCTATGTGTAGATGAATAGGACTTCTTCCAAAGAAAACTTTAAATTATTCAAAGAATGCTATCTTTTTCTTTCCTAGTTGAACCTAGTCTGATTTATTCATTTTTTTTATTTCTGCAATTGTTATTATAAGAAAATGAAAATATATCAAAGTTTGTTTTTTTAAGTAATATTTGGTTAACTTCATCCTACTTGCTTTAATAACATTATTATGAATCAAATTTGCACATTGTGCCCAGAATAGCAATTAATTATTCTGTGTTGCTTTCTTTAAAACCAACTCTATTAAACTCTTGTCCACCTCTTGCTCCAGTCTTTGTGTGCAGTTCACTGTGATAATAGGAAGCATTATGTGTGTATGACTGCAAGTACATTTGAGGGACAGAACTGCATGTCCTCAAATTTTTAATTTAAATACAGAAAGAAGGTCATTAGTTTAACAGTGTTCTGGTAGTGCTTTGTGAATGGCATTATTTGCAATGCAGACTGAAACTTGGTGAACAGTGGAGATACTATCACTGAATTATTTTTTACATTTGGCATGCCATCTCATCCTCCTGATTTAATGTCACCTGTGAACTAGATATGTAGCCTTGTGTCCTTGTCTGGGTCACTAGTGAGATGTTGATTGACATGGGCCACAAAATTGATCCCTGCAGGGCCATCCTTGTTGCTGGCTGCCAGCGGTGCATAAAACATTGAGTGCCCTTCAAGCCTGGGCATTTAGACAGTTTTCAGCCCATATCTCTTCATTCATCCAGGCAGTATTTCCTTTTGGAAGGCATGAAAAATACTATCCAACTCAGTAGATTTCATTGCTATAGGTTTGGTAGGTGATGAAAATCTGTGTAATCATTTGGCATTTGAAACCTTTTAAGCAATTTAAGACATACTAACTTTCACTTCAAAGACATATCCTTTACTTTTTTCCCTGTGTTTTCTCAAAACACTTATTTCTGTACAAAATACACAACTTTTATGCTTTTATTTCATGATAATGAGTTGTACTTTCAATTAATATTTTAAAAGTGTACCCTAATTTCCTCCCTGTTCTGGAACTGTGGATATGATTGGTAATAATAGCTATTTTCGTTGAATGTAATGTCTCACAAAGACTTAAATAGCTTCATTCTTATTTTAGATCAGTATTAACAAGGTGGTAGATTTTTCGGCATATTGAAATTGTTATCTCACTGGGAGAGACTATTTGAATATGAGTTGATTTTCATACAGTATCACTGTGACTAAAAAGTCATCTAGATACCCATTCTAATTTTAGACAGATGTAAGTTGCATGAAATAAACTTTTTTATATTTAGCTTTAAAAGTGCAATTCCCACTATAGTATCTTTTCATCTCACAAATAACAATACCCTTTTTTTTTTCCTCAGTTTGAACTTCTGACTCCAAATGATGTTGTATGGCATCTGTGGGTTTTATTTGAATAGCACATGCCAGGAATATATCAAGTATTACAGTGCATATACATGGTACAGTTTTGAAAGATATTTTCCTTAATTCCCTACTGAGCGCTGTCGGCGTTTTATGGAAGCAAATTACACAAACTTTAGGGCACACTAGGAGCCAGTGGTGGTTCTGCCCTCATGGGCACCTGGTGAGGAGTTTGCATTTGGGCTGTGTCCATGTTCTCTGTTTGCAATGGAGGTCACATAATTTTCTCACCTCTCACCAGTGGAGCCCAGCACAAAGCCAGTCTTGCATTGAGTTTGTCTCAAAAAATCTGAATTTTCAGAAATACCCTAAAGGAAGGGAACGGAGGTTCATTTGCAATTGCACAATAACCAGGAGGGCTGAATGTACCAATTCTCTTTATTTTGCTAAAGTTGCTTTCACTGGCAGAGCTATTTTAGTATAGGGAAGATTTGTGTGGTCTCTTTGTTTTACAGAATTTTAAACATTGTCTGGTGCAACAATAAACAGTAGCTATTTAACATGCCATTGACTGCAGTTGTAATCTGAGGAATTAGTACTTTTAGATGTCATTACTAATAATAGAAGTGCATAATGAAAGTAAGAGACTTTTTCAGATTAAATCCACCTGGAAGGAAAGTGTATTTGTATTCATATGCTAAAATTACGGTAGGGGTTAAGTTAGAGAGTTTGGCTCACCTGGTGGAATAAGATTAACATTGACAAAATTGTGTAAGAAACACTGGAATGGCTTTACTGGTAACCGTGTGTTATACACAGACCTGGGAGAAAGCTAGCAAATTTTACTATGTCATAACTGCTTACCTTGGCAGCTACTGGGGTGAAAAATACTATCTTGTTTTTTTCTTTCTGTCATTAAGTATTAGTCATCAAAACTGTATAAAACTTGAATTTCCTCTTTAGTAAACGTATTGATAGAAGTTGAGATATATTTAGTATAAAAAGTAGTATAATTTTCTACTTTACCATGCATGGTTACTTTTATGATAATTCTGATAACTCTCAGTATTTTCATTAAGAAAGGTCTTTTTTTCTTATTCTTTTTTTTCTTTTCTTTTTTTTTTTTTTAACAGAAGAATCTATACTAAGTACGTTAATAAAGGTTTAATTAGAACAGTGACTGGAACCTAGGAGAATGTTGCAAATCTGAGTAAAGTCAGAGAAATGGCTTATTTACAGCAATTTACTTTATTTTTGTATTATATATTGTAAGGAGTCTACTTACAAAAGCAAATGCATTATTTGCTTTTTAAACTAGGGTATGTAAAGTATTTTCATTCATTGGCTTGGTGTAAACTATGTATTTCTTTCACTAAACTAAAAAGCCTCTTTATAAGAGGACTTTTTTATGGTCTCTTGCAAGTTTAAAAAGTGATATTGTTGTACTTGTGTTTTATATACCAACCTTCTCCTTTGTCAAATTTTGTGGCATTATAAACCCCTCATATCTTTGATTTTTTTTTTTTACCTTCCTTACAATCTTTGACAAACCTCAGAAAAGAAAGGGAAGAGACGACAATGGAGAATGGTGAAACTAGTCACAGAAGCTGTCCATGTGAGATGTAAAAAAATGGAAAGTTTTCTTACTTCTACAAATTAAAATGTCATCAGAGCTGTTGAATCCATTTCAGGCAGGTTATCTTAATACCATTTTTCTTTCCACTGATCCATGACAGCATGAAAAAAGGGAAGATTGGTGATATTTGCTCAGAATTAATGTGAAGTTGAAGGGAAGTTCTTATTCCTTTTATAAATAAAAAATGACTGTAGCCAGCATTTGGCTGAAGGTGTCTTGGTAGTGTGGACAAAGAGAGTTACATATTTTATAAATAAGGAAACCATAAAGTCTGAATATATAATCAACAGTTTGTAATATAGTCTTTCTGACCTATGAATAATTCATTTAAGTATGGTAAAGCTACTTATTGGTACTCCTGGAGCAACGATTCAAATGTCTCCTGTGAAACACTAAAACATATTTCCATGTTAACTGCTACTTTTAATGGTCTGCATTGATGAAAGAGGGATATCTTACACCAGTGTATAATGTTGCTGGCCCAGAACATTAGGCATGCAAAATGGGAAGAGGTGAGGAAATCCCTTCAAAAACTCAGAAGTGGGTAACTTATCTGAGTATCAAAATGATGTGCTATACAAGAGCAGTGCACACACTGGGAAATATTCAACCAAAACTATTGTTCTTCACTGAGATACTTACTCCTTGTGCCAGTTGGTGCAGCCACACATGCAATGTCTTTTTCTGAAGTAGCATCACTTCCTAGGATTGCGCTTGTGTCCCAGTGATTGATTTGTCAGGTCCAGCAAGAACAATCAGTGTTAGAGTCAGGACTGCAAACTCAGATTTCTTGTCTATTAGTCCTGTGCTGAATGTTCTTTCTTTCTTTGTTAAATTCACCTGAACAAGGAATATTAGGGTAACATTAACATAGTTAATGCAAGGTTAATCCTCAGTATTTTCCAGGCAAAAGAAAATTCAGGATAGCTCATTTAACTGTGTGGAAGAACCACAGGTGACATCTTCTATTATCCTTGTATTTGCTTAATATTTTATAAAATATTTTGAGAGTGGATCACAATAAATATATTAAAATCACTTTGTCACCTGTCTTGAAATCAACTGTGAAAATTGTCACTACAATTCAAAGTTAGAAAATAGGTCTATTTGGTTCTCAAAATAAGTGTTACTGATATTCTTAAGTGGTTGAGATATAGTATAACAAATTCAGATCACAGTAAATTTTATTGTCAGATAAGTCTCACAGAAGACCTGACTGAGCAGAAAAATAAGTGCCGATGAGTGTATTTTGGTATGCAGGCATAAATGCAAAATGACAACTTCTACCTTAGTCAAGCTTTCACTCTAATTAGCAAAGACACTGGTTTTGTTCTTTTGTAATTATTTCTGAACTAATTGTTCTTTCCTCACTGAGAATCAATCACATGTGAAGTTTGAGTTTTAAAAATTAAATCACGTTTGGAACTCTGCAGACATAAAGAGTGGTGCTTCTGTCTTGCACCTAATGCTCATGTCTTGCTAAATCTCCAGCTCGCAGGGTGGACTAGTAAAATTTCATCCTTGGACCAAAAAGAAATATTTTCCAGTGGGATTCTTCCTTGTATATTGATTTGTGTCTAAGTTACTTACTATAAAATAAGTAAGAAATCAAGCTGCTACTGTCTGATATCTGAGGTAATTTTCTTCCTCAAAATGCATAGCAAACTACTTGTTCTTCATCTCTTACTGCTAGATTGTCTGAAGAGGATACTTTTATTTAGTATGTAAAAAGCCATCATAAAATTAAACTACTGTGGTATCCAGAGAGATTATTATGATAGTTCTATGTTAGGATATTAGCTATATTTTCTTTGTTGTAACCAGTAGCAAGACTCTTCTCTGGGTCTTTATCTACATTTCTCTGTATAATTAACTCTTTAGTGATTTGTGATTTCTTAGTACTTCAGTAGCAAAGAATTTTGTATTTTCTCTCACTTTTCAACAAAGTTCCTATAAATTTGGAATAATGTCACACTTTTTTGGTGTGATTGGATCCCATGCGCACGTCTATGAAATGTAGTAAACGTTAGCATTTTTTACCTTGCTCAGATTATGAGAATGCCATTAGAAGAGTAAGGTTTATATTAGTTGTCATTTTTACATTGCCTTACTGAGCTTCTTTGCTTTTAACAGCCTTTCAGATGGGAAACAGCCCTGTGCCAATTCTTCAGCAGGCCAAAATGTCAGAATCTAAATAGCTAGAAGACCATTCTTTGCTGATTGCCCATGTCTCTGTGCTCATTCTGAAAAAAATCCCAAATCTGTTGATTCCTTGTATCCCTCTTCACATAGTGTACTTGTAAAAGGAGATTCTCAAAGTCTTTCCACTGTGGTTATGCTATTATGTCAGCAAGAAAGGCATACAGAAACTTGCTTTGTGGTTTTAAGATGAATTTAAAGGCAAATAGTTGCTTTCTAGAAGCATAACATATAGAACCAGTGCTACTTTTCAGTACTGGGTAGACAGTATCTGTTTTAGAGGGAAATAACAGACTGTAAAGAGAAAGGGTCTGAGTTTTAGATGCACCAGATAAAATTTTTTCTGTTGTTTGAAAGCAATAGAAAAGGGTTACTTAAGGGAAAGAAAGACATTGAGAAGTATTTATGTACCCAGCCACCCAAATGTTGCAGAAGGCATTATTTTTGAGCACTGTAATACTAAGCCTCACCTGCAGCACCCTTAATTTTATGCTCAAAAGTTCGCTGTGGGCTTACATAATGAGATGAAGAAGAATAGGATACGGGGGAAAAAAAATCAGTACCATGATTTCTAAATAGTCAATAGAATATTGATTTGCAAATATTTGTAGTAAAAGTTATATAATCTACTTATAGTATCGCAATTTTCAAAAGCATAAATTTAGTCCTTCATAGTGCATTCAGTAGTTTAACATTAAAAAATATTGTTGATTGATCTTGATTGATTTCTTGCAAATGCATTCATCCGTGCTTGACTATTCACAAGTTTGGGACGTCTTCAGGATGATTCTTCTTTACATCCCATCTTATTATTCTGATTCCAGATATGGGCTGTAATTGTGCCTGTGAAAACCATTTTTTTGCTTATGGTTACTATGCATCAGTAGCTGAGGAATAATACAGAAAGAATATTATTTGCATATTCCAAATCTATAGACTTATTTCAGTGTAAGAGTTAATCAGCAGTGCACATCAGGTTTTTCCTGCTTCATCTGCTTGGCCTCTGATGTTGCACAGGCATCAATACTTACTTAGTATGAACATTGCAGTTTAAATCAGTTTAAAAGATGTAGATGCTTAAGTTCAAATAAAAATGCTCAACAATGGCATTCCTAGGAAAAATATATAGCTGGTTACCTGGTTACACCAGGCTTTATATTAGTTGATTTTTAGTTCCTACATGCTTGAACAAATGAGCACTTAGACAAGGCTTGAACTGCTGTTGGTACTCCATTCTCCATTGAACTCAGTGAGCTTCCAGGTGAGTGGATGATGTAGCTGCCCAAATCTATTTCAGCTGTAGGCCTAATGTGCTGTCAAGCCTAGGTATTCAACTAGATGCACTTAAGCTTAATTTTGAACATGTGCACCGAGTTGTGAAAGATAAAATGTGTGAAATTCAGTTGGTTTGACTGCTTGACACTCAGAGCAGTATATTTGACTTTCCTTTGACTCGCTTGCATTTTGGAACCTTATTCTGGAGCTTGTAGTATTTAAAAACAAGTTAACTTCATGCTTCTGCAAAGCTCAGTTAGGTACGACATTTGGAAGAAAGAACAGTGCATTAAAACCATAACAATTCATCATATTACGTCTCACTCTGGCAAGCTTAATTGTAAGAATATTTGCAGTCCCTTTTTCTGGTTTCCCTTTACTTTCCCCACGATGGTCCCAGGCCAGAGTTGAGAGCTGCTAGTACTGTATGCCAGTCAAAAAAAGGAGTCTGATCTTTCTGATTTATGGAAAAGGGGGTGGCTGACTAAGAGCACACTTCTAATCTCAGCCCAGAAAAGCATGAATGTGAGAAAGTGCCTCTTCCGTCTAGGCTTTAGCACATAAACAGAATTGCTTTTTTTGGTATATTGAGTTCTCTGGCTACTTCCAAGATTGAACGTAGCCAGAAAGAAACAGTTAAAATAACAGTTTTGAGTTTCCAGCTGCAACACTTTCTGTGTGTCTTTGCACTTATATGTTGGTTTTGAACGTACTGTTGTAGTAATCCAGAGAGCAGAAGAGGCCTCACACTGACTACCTCTCATGCAATACAAACCAAGCTCATTCAATATTTAATGTTGACTACAGTCAAGCATCCTTTGGCCACATGATTCAGGGAGGTGGTAGTGGGGGGGGAAATAGTAAACAAAAAGTAATAATTAAGACTTTATTCCAGTGATATATGCGGTATACACAATACCTGTAATACCAAGTCCAGCTGAAGGAGGTCCTACCTCTTCTGGTAGGAAATAAAAAATGAACTTGGCTATGCTATAGTTTTTGTTGTGCTCTAAAATGTAACGAAAGATGTCATCTGTTTCCTTTAGGGTAAGTCAGATTTACCAGGATATTATGTCCAAAACACACACACAATTTTAGTTTTTGAGGAAACATGATGCTCTTTTACCTGTTGCAATGTAATTGGATAATGCATGTACAAATGACTTGTGTAGCCTGCCAATGAATGTTGCTAATGCCTTACCAAAAAAAAAAAAAAGATAAAGCATATTTTTTGTATTTTTTTTCCTCAGAGGCAAATCCAAACAATGCTAGATTTGGGAAACTGTTTACTGAAAAGCATTTTCTAATAGATCTCTGAAGAAGTGCAATTGTATAATTATTATTGTTCAGTGCATACAGTACATTGTCTCCATCACTCTGTACACTGCTGCTATTAGTGCTTGTTCTAATAAATCTCAATGTACACTGTTTAAACTGCTGTCATCTGTGTTCTGATTTATCAACATAACATTGAGAATATGGTTCTTAAAAGAACTATTTGTAACTAGTTAAGTGAACTGACTGTTAATTGTAAAATTCTTAATATATATTGTACAGATTGATTTTGAAGAGGTGGGTGATAGTGGCAGCAATAGCACTGAAACACTGGCTTCTCATTAGCATCCCTGTTCCTTTCTAACCTTTTTCCACTGCAGGAATATTTTTATAAAACTTTTCCCATGTGATTCTCTGCACAGTTTCCTTTAGATCTGTTTGGGATCTATCAACTGCAGTCTCAAAGAAGGTAATTTTCTTTTTGGCAGTTTCTGGTTTTATCTTCATGCTACAGCTGGTAAGAGCCTTTTTCTTTTTTATTTTTTTCACTTCATCTTGCTCTCTGTAATTAAAGGGAGCTTGAGTATGCTCCCCAAGTTTTGTGAGAGGGTGTAGGAAAAACAGTTCCTGATGTTCTCTAATAGAATTGAAAAAGAGGTGTGGAAATTAAAAAAAAAAATTGACACCCACCCCTTCTGGCATCTTGGAAAAATAACAGTATGGCATTTTTCCATTGTGTGTTCTTGTCAGTTGTTCAACCCTTAAATTTACTTAAAATGAAAACGTAATAAAAAACAAGAATTTGGTTGGGAGGAGAAATTAAGATTTTTGTTATTTCTTGGCATTGTAAAAAGAACAAGTGTTCAAACAGTCTGGAATGCTGCCTGAGTGGAAGCAATTGCAAAGGAAAGGAAAAGCTTTTTTCATGAATGGCAGTGCTTTCTCTCTTGTGTCAGAGTACACATCTGATCTCGTCCAAACCGATGCTCTGAGACAGGTGGCACACTGAGAACATATTCCCTGTTAAACAATTCTATGAGCAAAATTCAGCTCTGCTTTCACATTTTTGTAGTTGAGATCTGTACTTTGCCTCTGAATGCTTTGCAAAACAAATCTAACAGTTTTGGATGACGGTGACTCAGCAAAATTTCCGTGTGTGAGTGAGGTGTGAAAAACTCTATATCATTACTTAATTGATTAAAAAAAGATCAACACAACAAACCTTTAGGAATAGAGTGCAAGAGGCCTCTAAGGCAGCACTAGCAACCTGACAACTAATTTAGTACCAAAACTATTACTTTAAGTATGAAAGTAAATTACATATTTAAATTTAATCTAACCAAGAGACAGATGATACTTCTTCGTAACCACAAACATGTAGGCGCTGTGGTGGGGTGAAGTGAGACAGTGTGGGAAGCTGTTGACAAGATTTCATCCTGACTCAGCTAAAGGAGTTGCCCACAGAAAGCTGTTCCAAGTTTCACTGCTGGTACAAAAATCTGTTCTGATGTGATGATACACAACATTTTTGTACAGCAAACATATCAAGCTACATGGTTCTCCAAGTCCTTATGATCTCATTAAATATTTAAGCTGGCCTAAATGTTAAAGAAACCTACAAGTATGCAATATTGACTTTTCCTGCACCACAATATGCAGAATTATTTTTCGGGTAAGTAATTATTACTAAATCAAATTAAAAGAAACTAAACTGAAATATTATTCAAACCCAGGTACTCTAGTTTTACTGAGTGGTGAGTCTAATTTTACTCAAGGGCAGCAAATGTCTTGTATTAAGACTGTACTTTTTATTTCTGAAAGGTATATCTAAGATGTAACTTAGGCAGAGTAGGTAAAAGACAGGCTAGGTTACATATCCCATATTTATATCCCAAGTGCATATTAATAATGATATATTAAATTCAGAGCAAATTAATAAAGTGTGCATAAATGCATGCTACAGATATGAATCTGCTGTTAAGATGGTTTTTTACCTGTGATTAGACTACACTAAGTTACATTTGTAATTACAAAGAAAACCTCCAAATTAAAATTAGGTGTGTAGTTGCTTTTTCTCACTGGTGACTGTCTGGCTATATTTCCTTCAGTAAAGAAAAGAAACTAATTACTAGCTCAAATTTCATGATTACTCCAGGTTTCCTGAGCAGTTTTTTTGATAAGTCAATGGAGAAAAAAAATATAATTAAACATTCCCAAAAGGTTACACTTGTTAGTCTGCAAGTGGACTGCAAGTGGACTACAAGAGATATTTTTTTTTAACTGATAAAATTTAAGGTGTCAGTTGTCTCTTAAGTTTCTCCTTAAGTAGGTAATTTTAGAGAGCCTGGAATTATATTTAGCTGTCAAAGAAACTGAAGTGATATAACTGATATAGCACAAGAGCGCATCCATTTTTCAGTTCTAGTTCAAGAGTCAAATGCTGATCAGCTGACCTAGTACAACAATATTGATCAGGCTACTTTTTATGTTTGGTGACAAGAATATTTTATGTCAGCTGTCTGTTAAAATGCTTAGTATCTGGAAACTGCTCAAGTATATTATTTTATGCCTACATGTGTGAAAAAAAAAATTAGGAAACTAGATGAGGAAATATTCTTATATCAGGAAGAAAAACAGGCTGAATAAGCATAGAGGTGATTATGAAAGAGAATACTGAATTCTTGCATGCCCTAAAAACACCTACTTCATTTTGTCTGTTTATAAATACTCTGTATCCAAAGATCTGAGAGTACTCTATAATAATAGTCAATTCTTTCAGTATCCTTTCCTGGGAAGTGAGGTATTACTACAGCCACATGTGATAGGTTTCATAGACTGGTTAATTGCCCAGTATCACAGAACAGCTAATGTCAGTGACAAAAATAAATGCAGTTCAAGCCTGCTTTTCAGATTAAAATGTGAGGAGAAGAAGCCAGGAACAAGATATGTCTGTGACTGAAGGAAGTATTATATAGAGCTAAGTATCTCAGCACCCATCAGACAGATTAGCATGGGCAATGTAGACAAATCCTTTGTTCTGTAACCTTTCTTCAGATATCGTGGCACAGCAGCATCTACAGTTCTGCTCCCTCATACAGGTGGATGTGCAAGCCCACAAGGCTTTCCTCTCACATAGACTCACCCACTGACAGATGCTGGAAAAAAAGGATTAGTTGTTTGGGCAGCATCCTCCAAAGGAAAGGAAGCATTAAACCTACTTCACAACTGGCTTGTTTGTTTCCAGATTCATCTTCACAAACTAATAATGCTAGATGATGAACTCAGCTTTGTTGTATGCTGTAATGTTTATGTAACATAAACACAGCCACTTCTTTTGGCTGAAAGATGGGCCTGCTTCTCATATAGTGAGTATACTTACTCATATAGTAAGTATACTATCTCAGCACATCTATCCCTGGAGGACTACTTTTGCATTTCTTTTTAGTGTATGGTTCACAGCTAAGACATCCATCTGCCCATTAAAAGTATTGCCAATAATACTGGGACAATTACAAAGAAGCAAAAGCTGGGATATTTCATACACTCTAAAGATGGACACATGAAACACAGATCTGCAGTAATCTGAACATCCATGAACAGAGGTCTGAAACCTGAAAGGTAAGTCTGTGGAAGAGCATATAAAACAGTCACCAGAATGTGTGTTCCTTTGTTGCATTTGTGTTTCCTTTTATAATCAACGTGGCTCTAGTGAGAAGGCAGTGAAGTAGTACAAAGGAAGCAACTGTGCAGCACATACCAAGTTGACAGATGTTGCTTGTATAAAGGTGAAAGAGGGGCAAGGTCAGCCAAGAGACACAGAGAAACCAGTTGAACTCCACATCTTGTAGCCTTTCACTGATGTAACGCTTACAGTGTAGTGCAGCTTTAAATGCTTTGGTTGTGTATGTAGCACAGACTATGAGTATGTATTATCATAGTTTATTTTGTAGCAGAGAGTAGAAGGAGGTTCCAATAGTTTGCTTGAGCTGTAAATTGGAAGTGATATATAAGAAGCAAAGTGATAGCAGGTGTGTGCTGCATGTCTTTCAAATGGACTGTTTAATGTGACCTTGAAAATAGTTTAGAACAGCCCTAAAGTTTGTTTTAGATATCTGTATAGAAAAAGATGACAGCATTTCCTGGACCTTTTAAATTTTTTTTCAAGTTCGTTCTAATTTGTAAAGTAACTGTTCACACACAAAAGTCTCATAAACGCAGAGGTCCATTAAAATACATACCTCTAGAAGCTTCTTATTAAAATTTTCTCCTGACACTACAAAGAGTAGTGGAATATTCAAAAGGATATGGCTCCACAAGAATTAAAACATACTTTAAATGTGGGGAACTTAAAACATTTTACGACTGGGCTTCTGCAAAAAATTTAAATATGCCACTGCTAATTCAATTGTTCCCCTATACTGCATAATGAAAATATAATTTGGGAACTAATTTAAAATTTTCACTGCACTTGCACTATACTAGAAAAAAATCCAACATGGAACTATATCTGCTGAAGCTAAGTCTACTGAAAACCACCTTCTTGCTTTAACTTACTTTCCTTCCCACAGTGATCTCTGAATGCCATAATGCTTTGTGAACAGCAGTCACTGCAAGCAGTGTGCCAAGTGACATCAGTATCCCAGCAAACTGCAAGATCAGGAGTTCAGCATGGCAGTGGTAGTGCCCTCATACCCAGGAACTTGGTATGGGAACTGGCTGGTTTTGCTTATCCTAGAGAATCTATAGGCATACTCCACCCTAAAAAAATAAAATATAATAAGGACCATATTTTGTGCCATAAATTGTTACCACCTGAATATTTAACAGGATCTATATTGCACAGACCCTGTCTTTCTAGGGAAATACTCCATATGCTGGAAAGTTGTGGAATTTTGCAAGTAATTTTTTTTCAGTAGCATTTTCTTTTGCTGGTTTTTATATGTTAAATTCTTACACTTGTTCTTTGGCAGAGATCTGTAGGTAAACGTAATACAGTTCAAAGGCAATTCAGCAAGGAAGTCTGGCAACCAACAGTATCTTTTTGTACACTAAGAAGATATTAAACAAATTACCAGTATAATTTGGTACAGATTGTGGGTTTAATCCTTTCAAGTGAAACACTAATTCAGTTTATCCAATCAGTTAACACTTAAGATTTC